GAAAAGAAAACACTTATTTACTTAAATTAATTGAAAAGAATAATTGTACAGCCGGTCGATCCATGACATTTTTCCTTTATTTAGAAAACTATCTGAATTAGAACGAAGAAAATTTTCATTGTCTGACTGATGGTCATTGTTTCTTGGAAAAGAAGAAGAAGAAGAAAAAGTAATAATAATAATAATAATAAAAACTTGATCAAATTTTCACATAATTTGTTACTATTGATTTAAGTGAAAGACAATAATTATTCAGAATTTCTTTTTAACTGATAATCCCAATAGACAATGTATGCCATCCTATAAATGATCATCACATTGACGAGAGAAGGAGAGAGTGTGTTAATTTATCTTGTGTCTTATTTTAATTATCGATATATAATCATTTTAGATGATACACACACACACACACACAACTAGAGAGAGTGAGACTGTGCATGTTCACGGAAGAAGATGTTAATTTAATTGAATAAAACAGCATATTTTAGTTTCATGTAATTTCTTTAGATATTACATTGTCACCAACAAAAAGAAAAACTGTCTTTTTTGATTTGATGAACAGAAATTCATTGTGAAAGTTCAAATATATTCAACTATTTTTCACACGTATGTCAAAAAAATTGGATAAAATACCGGTTCAACTTTCAATCTATCATCTCTGATATAAATTCATAGACATCCAAGGCTACTTTTCTCTACCTCTAAGTATTCTTCATTTTCATTTCAAATATTTGTTCTTTCAACAACACATTGTATTGTCTTTTTCTATATTTACATAACGTGATGTTGATTGAATATAATGAACGAACATATGATGACACTTTTTTTTCTTTTTTTTAGTATAGTACTTTTGTTTGTCAATTAGATCGGTACATTGTGACATATGTACAATATAGTAGAGACTGATTTTATTCAAAGAACAAACATAACAATTAAGTGAAAAAAATTTTTTTTTAATTTATAATACACGTAGACATTTCCATGTTCTTCATTAATTTTTCATTTGACGTATAAATTGACTCATGCTGTGATGATGAAGATATGTGATAGTATTGATAAACGATACATGACGATAGAAGAGAATAAAAAATTGTCTACATTGAAGAATTCATTATTTTTCACATTTTATTTGATAATGAAATGAGAAAGAATCATAATTTTTAACTACCTATATGTACAGGAAAAACGTGTAGTTTTGAAAAATGGTTTTCTAGAATGAATCAGATTCACATTTCAGATGTGTGTACATGTCTTGAAGAAGACAAAACGTGTGTCTACTGTACTTTTTTGAATGAAGTAAACCCACTGCTGTGAGAGATGTAGAGGAATTAGTCATCTCGATTCTTCTATGAATGTTAGAGTTGTGTGAATATGTAAAAGATTTAAAGTGCCACGCTGATTTTCGAATGTAAATTATATGAGTTTTTAGAACTCGATACACTGAGTACAATGACATAGAGCATTTTCTCCCATATGCCTTATTTGAAGAGGCAGATCGATTTTACTTTTTGGATGCGTCACTCCGACATACTTATTGGCTTCCAAAGACATTATAGTTTCAAGCGGTCGGATTTTTGCTATCGGATGCGCCGCATACGACTGTATATTCTCAAATGTTAAACTAAAATAGAGTTTCCTCTGCATATTTCAGTATCACTAATATTGTGAATAGAAACCAAGGGGGAAACAGCTAATTGAAATCAGTCGAACATCACCCAAAATCAATTGATTTTCAGTGATTCTCTGTGATTTTCAGTCATTTCCGATGACTCTTCAGTTGGTGAAAAGCGATCAAAATCGGTGAAAATTGGGAAAATTCCAAAATCAGCTGTTTTTCCCTCTTGGTAGAAACACTTCTAGTGAAATATTTCAGCACTCTATACTCACAATATTAGTGATATTGAAATATGCAAAGTAAAGACTCTCTATTTTAGTTTAACATTTGAGAATGTACAGTGGTATACGGCGCATCTGATGGCAAAAATTCGACTGCTTGAAACTATAATACCTTTGAAGTCCAAGTCTCCCAATCAGTATGTCAGAGTATCTCTTCAAAAAGTAAAATTGATCTGGCTCATCAAATAAGGTCTATGAGGAAAAGTGCTTTATGTCATTGTAATCAGCGTATCGAGCTCTAAAAACTGGTATAATTCGCATTCGAAAATCAGTGTGACACTTGGGGACCTTTCCTCGATAGTTATTTATGTCTGGTACCTATTATGAACGAGAACCTGCTGCGTATAGATGTCAAACATATAAAATACCACTGACATTCTTCTTTTAAGCGGACACTATATTTCATAAATCATCCAGTAGATGTTGAAAATTTTGGTCAACAGAACGTGATGTCTTTCTTGTTATTATAATTAAATTGATCTACTGAATCATGTCTTACATCATTGTTCAGATATATTTATTCGAATATTTCTCAAATCACTACTCATACTATGGCTTCCCGCTAGGTTTCTTTTTATTTTTTGTTGTAGAAGACAAATAATGATACAACAAGACGTTTTTCTTTTTTTTTTTGACCATGTCAATCATATTGCTGTTAATACCGGATGTTCAATATATTTTTCTCTTGAACAAAATGGATAATTTTACTGTTTATATGAACAAACATTAGTTCAATTGTTTCTAACAGCATCATATCTTTTGATCTTTCAGCATAGACTGTATACACATATATATATATATTCAATATTTAGAAGACAATTCTTCTCTTATATATGTTTAAGAATTGTAAATCTCTGTACTATCAGTAAACCTTGATAAATATAATTGTTAGTTCTACAAACCGTATTAAAGTTACATCATCTAGCAAGCAATAAAGTAGATTTTCCTATGGACAGTCAATATCTTAATATAAGCCATTCTATACTGTTTGCTTTTATCTATACACAGTAAATGAAAACATGAAATATGATGGTCTAATAGCTTGGGGATATATGTCGTCTAGGCTGTTATTGTTGTTACTCTGAATGGGGCTTCTTTCTCTATAAATAATTCATTTAGTTTAATGGTCATTTTTATGAAAAGTGATATGGTTTTAACAATAAATCACTCTCTTTCTCTCTCTCTCTCTCTCTCTTTACCGTGTATATACACATGTCTATTTGTCACATTTGACTTTTACCACTATCCACTTTATCTTAACTCTTTCCTGAAGACATTTGTATTCATTTTGATATTTGATCGTACCTGTTGTTAGAAGAACATGTGTTTTTATGTTCTGCTTATAAATTGATCCTAATTAATCTCTTTTTTTTCTTTAACCACTGATAATGAGACCCGCAGGTGACAAGAAAAAGAGAAGAGTAGGAAATATTTGATATTCAATATATGAGAAATGAGTGACACCCACTAATAATAATTAATAGGACAATGCATTGCTTTATGATATCCACACAAAAAGAATATAGCAATAATTTGAATGTCGTTAAATATTAATGTTTAGTCAATTTCACTGGCATTGAGAGTTAAAATTTACTTGAAATAGCCATAGGTCACACAGTGAAAAACAATATATATACTTTTCTCAGAGAATCTCTACTATAAAATATTTCACATCTACAGCAAAAAGAATTACTAAAGTAGTTCTGGAAAGAATTCTATTATACTATATTCAATTTCTGTATGCGACGAACTATTCATATAAACGCCGAGCAATGAGCTTTCCTTCATGTGCGATGACGATATCCCTATACAACGGGTACTTCAGAAGAAATGAACGTCTGAGTATTTCGACTATAACTTTTTTTCCTTTAAGGATACAAAGTTATTTCTTCTTTTTAAAGGTTCGCCGTTTTATTCTCTACAAAGAGTATATTAAACAACTTTTTATATACACTAAAAATAAAGAAATATTGATGGAATACTGTGAAATTTCAATCTTCATTACTTTCCAACTCAAAAAATGGCTTTTTAAGAGAGCCTTTGCTAGAAAACCGACCCGGTTCCGTGAGACTGTCAGAAGAAAAATTGTATTTCTCAGCAAAAAAGATGCTATTATCGCAATTTTTTTATTGAGATACTCGACCCATTCTTTTATAAGATACAGAAAGACCTACGAGCTCTGCGCTTTCATCAAGTTAAAAAAACAGTTTTAGAGCAGCGATAAGCCCCGTTTTTCTAAATTTTCTCAGTTGTTATAAAACTTTAACCCAGTACTAATACGAAATTCAAGATCAGTACTGAACTTTCAATAGAATGGTATGCCAGACGAAAGGTGGTTTTTCTTGTGACGGTTTTCTAGAAAGCCCGTCAAAATCCTCAGGTGCGCATAAATATTGAATCCAAACTCATCTGAACTTCAGATATTATGGGTAATTTAGTATTTTTTCCCGTTCCTTACCCTAGCCAGATGGTAGGATTTTGACGGACTTTTTAGAAAACCGTCACAAGAAAAACCACCTGGTCAAAGTTGGTACATTGCGCCTTTTGTAGTGCTAGTCGAGTAGTGTGTGGGCTAACAAGATCTCGAAGAACTGATGTGTAGTTTTGGAGGGAGGAGGCCAGGAAGGGCTAAAGTAAGTCTCACGGCTACGCTTACCATGAAGAAGTAAAACGTGCTAGAGACTTCATTGTTGCGTCATACGAACAAACTTGGAAGCTGCTTTCATTTGAATATAAATAAAGTTATGTTTTGTTAGATTCTAAGCTCGTCCAGCACGCTATATAACGAGTGATATCTGCTAATGCAGATAAATTCCTCTAGTCAAAAATCCTTTCCGAATGTCAGTGCAGAAAATCTCATTTGCAGATAGAAATATGCAACTTCAGAACGCTTGATAGTATTAGATAAGGTCAGATTTCGCTATTCTGGCATCCCTGAAAACGCTTCAGTTCAGAACTTATGGCCTAGGAAAAACCCTGTTAGGAATAATCCATGGGACGACAGAGGTCCTTACATACCTTTGGTAGGACTATCGATTGCATATAGTCAAATCCTCCCGGCTTTAAGTCGTGTATAAAGTGGGCGGAGCTGAGCTGAAGTACCAATGTATGATACATTGTTCGATTCAAAATTTAATGCTGGTCCTGAATTTCGTAATAGTTTTGGGTTCAAGTTTTATAGCAACTGAGAAAATTTAGAAAAAAGGGACTTATCGCTGCTCTAAAACTGTTTTTTGATGAAATAGAAAACCCCGTAAGTCTAAAGAAAGATCGAATGAGGTGTGGGATAAGTATTTCTGAGCATTTTCGTTTATCACACATGTACGTTGGGAGTATGATGAATCAAAAACTTTTTTCGCTCGCTCCGAGTTACTTGACACCTCATTTGATCGAGAATTCAATGGGGATTACAATGTTGTCAGTATCTTGGGAAAGAAAAATGGCCTATCAAGTGACAGAAACTTCCAGATTCTACTCAGTTCGGCTTACTCTACAACATATGTAAAATCAGTCAAATCTGAGATACTTCTCCAGTCAACTTGCACCACTTTCTCAAAAATTTACTATTAAACATTGCAAACGAAAAACCTTTGCTCTAAATCCGTACGCAGAATAACAGCCCATTGGCTTTCTGCAGTATTCTGAGAATCAAAAATTTAGGACTGTCAACCATTCTTGAGTCATTTGTCTCTTATGGAGATTGAGGATATGAATACTTCATAGCTTAAAGCTGAGTTAGTAGAAATGCATACAGTTCAGTTTGTTCCAAAGTTTCTGTGGAAATCCCATGAAGTCTGCACAAAAAATGAAATGATGAGATGGGTTTACATACCGCTAACTCATGTTGAGGTTGAAGAAGGCTGTGTTTCAAATCGGTAAATGTTGGACGTTGTTCTGCTGACGATGTAAAACATTTGTCAATGATAGAGCACATTCTAGCTGAGCAATTTGTTGGCGTTCTAAGTTTTTCTCCGCTAGTAATTCGTTGTCGCACTTCGTCATCAGAGTCAATGTGTGACCATAGTATAGACCCCTTTGTATATGCTTCCCACATATCCCAATATACCTAGATACAAGTAAAAAGAAAGTATTGAGTATCGGGCAATCCAGGATAGCTAACCCAATACAGTAGTCGATATACCTAGATAACCCTATATTTTACTCGATATAGCTGGATGTTAGATTTACCACATGTTCAAGTAAGAAATCTTGTGAAATATCTAGATATTTTGTTGTGATATTGGGCAATCCTACTATGAAGTCATCTAAATATATTGGGCATGGTATCTAATGCATCCCGATATCGTCTCAATATATTGGGATGCAAAAAAAGGCTGATGTAGGGAGCTACAGTCCCCGATATATTGGTCTGTTACAGACCAATATATTGACTTATGTATCGATAGCATGGATGAAGGACGATTGTAGAAAGTTCGATTATGTCGTATTATCAATTATTTAAAAATATTTGACAATATTGAACAATGTATAAAATATATCAAATCTATTCAAATAGAAAAGATATTTTTTATTGTATCCGGTACGTTAGGAAAAGATATTATTCTTATCATTGTTGATGAATCACAAATTGTGTTTATTTACATATTTTCTTTCAAAAAAGATGAACATGAGCTATGGTCTAAGAAATATAAAAGGTTCGCGGTGTATTTGTTGATAATCACGCATTATTTGATCAATTAACTGATGATGTACGATTATTTGCACATCAGTTAGGAACAATAAATATCTTTAATGAACCAAATGTTAAAGAAACTTCCATTTAATGTTTAACGAATGAATAAGGAAAATTTATATGATTTCAATTAATTATTGAAGTATTATTCAGAATGCCAAAGAATATCAAAGCTAATAAGTGAATGTCAGTTACAATATGAAAATAATGCTTTTGAACAAAAAAAAGTTGATGAATTTAATAAAAAGTTATTGCTTACATGACGCTATATTCGTTGGTATACACGAGACTGTTTTCTCTATCATTTATTAAATAAAGCATTTCGAACAGAAAATATTGATACCATATTTAAATATAGATTTTTCATTAGTGATATTTATAATCAATTAAAAGTACTACATTCACAATATTTACAGACATTATCATCTCATGAATCAATTTTAACGGTTTATCGCGGTCAAATGATGTGAAATGAAGAATTACAAAAATTGATTAATAATGTTGATACTCTTATTTCAATAAGTACATTTTTTTCTATAACTCGATCGTCAGAAGTGGCTAGTACATTTGCCGGTGATGTTATTATTGAAATTGATCTCGATCAAAATATTGATACAAAGCCGTTTGCTGATATTTCAAATGAAAGTTATAGCAAAAACGAAAAGGAAGTTTTAATAGCTATAGGAACTGTCTTTCGTTTGGAATTTGTTGAAAACCTTTGCGACACATTATGGTATGTCAAACTGACATTGACTAGTGATCTTGATCGACATGTAAAAGAAATAATTGAGCACTATAAACGGAAAATTGGTCATACATCTGATATAGGCACGTTAGGTAGATTTCTGGCTCGTATGGGAGAGTATGAGAGAGCCGATCGATATTATAATTTAGCATTAAACGAGCTGGTAGATGTCGATAATAATTGTTATGATTCAAACGATCTTGAAAGGATGTTAGTCAGCTGTAAACAGACTACAGTGACTACAGTTAGATAATCCTCTGGTTTTCCCAACTCTTTCTGTTCTTGCGTAACTCCTGCGCAACACTTGCATAACTGTTGTTCAACTTGTGTACTATATATAGCCGTTCACTTTATGCAAATAAAGAAGAGAAGTGAGTGAGTAGAACCTCACACTTGGAAAAAAAAGGCAGAGACAAAATAATAATGAGAAGAAAATAACCTGAGAACTTTGTACTAAGTCGCTAAATTGTAACAGGTTTCTTTTTACAATACTTGCGCAGAAAAAGGTTATCCGTTCTTCGATAGTCAAGAAAAGCTTTGAATAAAACAGTTTCTCTATCTTTACTCAACGCTAAACAGCTGCAAAACACCTATACTTCCCAGCGTGACTCTTGTTGGTCACCAGACCTTTGCCGACCTTCCTTGATTACCTCAGTTCAACTGCACTTTTTTCGTTAAACCATACCTTACAGTCGCCAGATGAAAGCATACCTCAAACCACGTTTAATAAAATATGAAATACGATATATAGACGACGTAATCAGGCACAGAACAAAATTTTTCTGCTTTGATGGCACGTCGTTTGAAAAGAAGAAAGCAGCTAAGAGTGGAGACACAGTTGACAGCCAAAGCTCTGTACTGACAGAGAAGCAAGTTTATAACCAATTAAAGTAGTTTTATTTCTAAGATTTATTAAGTATACTTCTTAACTATACAGTATACCGTCGATCCTGGTGCTAGATTATTCAGTCATGCACGATAGGAATTGAACAGATCTTTTAAAAAAGCTAAATACATGTTTTGTTTTAGATTTCTTTCTACGGTTTAAATATGGTTCTACATAGTAGGTGGATAAAAGAAAAATGTTATTTATCAGAGCGCTCCAAGTGATGGAAGGAAAATAATAAGCTACTCAAAAGTATTGCGACTCTTCATTCCAAAGGAAAAAGTTGTCGAAGTTTTCGGCACGGTATCAATTCGAACAAAACAGGTAGCTAAAGGGGCATTTTTCGTACATTTTGAGGTGTTGAAATAAAGCTCAATACTTGTTTTCTTTACTTTTACAGGAAACACCAGAACCCGAATTAGATTCTTAAATAAGCTATACAATTTTTGATTTCTTCCGTACTTCACTAGCAAAAAGGGACAAACAGTTGTGAGACATCAAGGGAATAATCTTTATTTTTGAAACATAATGTCATTCTAGCATGCGACTATAGGCATGTTACAATTTGAACACAATCTCCGTCTGTTGTATGGTCCACATCAAATCATAATTGGATATAGTACGATCAGAACCACATCATAGAAAACACAATTTAAAACATGTGCTTTACTAAATGCCTCACAAAGGGTTACTTTAACATGGCTTACTTTGTGGAGATGGCGATGTTGTATCTGTCGCTGCTCCTAGATCTTTTTTTCGTCTACGAAATGAAACGAGCGATGGTATTAATAACTTTAAAACAGTTGTAACTCCACCTAATAAGCCAATAATGGTGGTTATCGTATAGATTAACTCAGCTTGTTTCTGATATGTAAAAGTACATTCAATTAATTGACATGTAGAATAATATTGATCATGGAATATTTGATCATTCCATTGTTCAATCATTAATTGTTGAACAATTTCACCGATCGTTGTGCTCACTTTGTATTGACTTTCTAAAGATGAATTCATTATGGTTGCATTAAACGGATGTACTGATATATCATATAAATATGTACTGATTGAATTCAAACAAAATTGATTAAAAAAACATTCAAGAGTAGATAAAAGTAATGACTCTATAATATAGCAACCACGATAAAAGTAATGACTCTATAATATAGCAACCACGATAAAAGTGTGGAATGTTGAATAAAGTTGCTAGGTCTGCGTCACCTAGTAACCAGAAACTATATGCCGTTTTTGTTTAAAAGGTGGAATGATGATTGTATCGACATTGTAAATTTTCTGCAATAGATTTTGAGCATCTTTCGAACCGATTGTACCTGTTAAGCCATAAATTTGATTACCATAACGAGTGAATAATCCGACATTGGAGAGATAATTCGTGGTAACAGTCAAGGGAGTCATTTTAAGACCATGTTTGATTTGGAGAAATTGATGAAGACCATCACTCCATGTTGTATCAGCTTGAATGACACCTGTATTGGAAAAATCAATTGGCATAATTCGTTTCGTACGTGTTTCATCGGGTTTGATCATGTAGTGATGATCGAGACGATATTCAACTTTAGCACGAATAGCATGATCAATCCACGTCGGAAGAGAATCAATGACAAAGCGATGTAAATGTGTAGGAATTTTGATCTGTGACTTTTTTTGAATCGAGAAAAAATTCTTTGAGATTTTTGACAATTAAATCTCGATTAGATACAACATCAGGATCAGCTTCAACCGTTCGCCAAATACCATAAAGTGATGATTTGAGCCATTCCATGCCAGGTGATTGATCAGCTAAACGAGCGATGGTATTATTTTCATCAAGGAGCATACTATCGACTTCATCAATAATAATCACGTCATGAGGACGAGCTGCACCAGTACTTTTATCAATCGTGCGTGTATAGAGTAGACTAAAATCATGACGAAGTAAATCGAATTGGAATTGACTGGAAGTACCATAGACGACATTAGCTGCATAACAGGTCTTCGGTCCAAAAACGTAACTAGTCTCATCATTATTATGCGAAACTTGTATTTCGAAATATTTATAGAACTTTTCACGTTCATGAGCATCTCGTTTTGCTAAAGTCATTGCACTTGTGACAATGTCAACGTGTTGACTCTGTAGGGCTTTGATTACAGCTAAGATAGAAACAACGGTCGATTTGCCTTCACCTGTTAAGATCTGTAACAAACGTCCTCCTTGATCATTGCGATCGAGTATAAAGAGAACAGCTAAGATTTGGATCGGTCGTGGTTCAAAATGGGAATCGAGGTAGACAGCACGTTTGATTACAGCAAGAATTTCAAATAAAGGAAATCGATTAGAATTAGCTGATTGAAATTTTAAAACTTGAATGACCCAAACTTGGATTTTGCTGATACTCCAGTTTTTGATCAGTTCATTTTGTGGAAAATGGGATGAGTCTTTTTCGTAGGCTTGATCAATTTGAGCGAACATTTCTTCGAATCTAATGACCTCTATATCTGGACTGACTTGTTTGATTTCAGCTAATAGAGTTAATAAATTTTTCTCGGAACTAATTGAACCGAAATGATGTTCAATGGCTAAGTTATGAACATTCGCTAACCATGATTGGATATTTTCATGAGAAAAGATCTCTTTTAAGGAGTTTAGAGCATTTTCATTCATTTTGTAATCAACTAGAATTTTTAAAGATCGAAAAAATTGAGATGAACTATCGAATTCATCTCGATGCACTTTGATGCTGTATAATAAATCGATAACTTTGCCCAATCGCCAACCATTTTTAAGTAAGACTTGTAAATCCTGACGAGCACTTTTAAACTGTTCTTCAGATCCACCAGCACAAGTCGGTAATATTTTATTAATAATAATCAATTCGATCTTGCTCTGTAATGATTCGAACCCATCGAGACTCTTGCGATTAGCGAATATACTAATTAATTGATCACCAGTAATCTCATACGTTGTCATAAGGTCAAGAATGGTTAAAATATTATCCGGCGTCTGCATCAATTGAAGAAATGGTTCGATCAATTCTGCCGGTAGATTTTCTTCATATTCGTTCAATTAAATGATTAAGAACAGTTTGGGAGTAAAGGGTATTGGATGACGATTGATTCAGTATCGATTGAATAAAATACAAACGTATCTGGAAGAACCAATTGTCTTCTTTTGATTGTAAAAGTTTCATTGCTTGATCAGTTGAAGTCTTTGAATAGATCAAAATTTGAATGATTGTGGCTAAATTGAAGTCATATGAACGTTGCTTTTCAATTAAGGTTCGAACAAAATCATCACGTTGATCATTGTACAATTGGTATTGTTTGAATATTTCGAACTGTGTTAATTGATGATAAAAGTTCAAAATACGAGCAGGGCTTCGATCGGAACATCTCGTCAATAAATCAATACATAAACATTGACGAGACCACTGAGTAGCTGGAAGTTCAAACGTCGTTGGTTCGAGGTATTCAACAAAAAAGAGTGTTTGAATGGTGCCAAGACACTGTTGGACAGTTGTTTCTCTAGCCAATCGATCTTGATCGATAATCGATGGTAATGGAATAGATTGAAGTAATTCTTCGGAATATTTCACATAGTCTCGTGAGATTTGAAAGCGAAGAATATTGAATGATTTTCTAATAATATTATCCGCGTCTTGAGAGAGTTGCTCGACAAAATACGAAATGAAATGAGTAGGTAATCGTTGATATCGAGCTATATTTTCCAGACACAGCAGAGATTCATTGATTGTATTCGACTCTACTTGAGACAAAAGAATTTCGAGTGCTTTCTCTTGGAAAAGAATAGATTTCTCTGCCATGATTCGAATGAGAACAAACATACGTTCAGTTTGGCAGAGCTGGAGAGTATTCTCAACTGATTGCGAGAGTTCTGCATTGAATTGGATGTCATGAGTAGATACAAGAATCAACACATCGATCATTTCATTCGGATACTTAGTTAGTTGATTAACAATAGCCTAGAGCAGTTCATATGGTACATGTTTCTCGAGGATAATCATCGCACGAATAATTTTCAATGCGTGATGAACATCGAGAATATTCGATGAAAGAATCATTTTTTGGACATATTCGTGTTGTGTTTTTGGTAATAAAAGACTTTGATTATCAAAGAAACTCGCGTACCTTCACGTTTCTTTCTTTCTGAGTAATAAGTAGCTGTTTTCCTTGTTGTTGAATCGTTGGTTGTTTTGAGTGCTGAACAAGATAAAGAAGATCATCAATTACTGATGATGGCCATGGTGATGCGGAACTCAACAACAATGGTAATGTGTGCACACTGATCGATTCATCTGATAGAGTTAAATAAATGGCATCGAGTATTTTTTTCGGAGGATTTGGACTTGATGAAAGAGTCAGTGCTAAGATAGTCGCTGCTTCTTTCTTTAGATTGAGATCACAACTGTAGAGCAAGTGTGATAGTCGTGTCCAATAAACTTCTGGTAACTTTTTACCGATTTTCACTATATCTCTTAATTGTTTTAGAAATGATTGATCATCGAGATTTGGATCATAATCGAGGAGAGGAAGACATTTTTTCAAATGATTGCGTTGATTTCGAGAATTCGATTGAGCTAGTTTAAGCGTTTTTAAGATGGTTTCTTGAATACTTGTATCGATTTCACCGTCTAATAGTTGAAGAAGAGCATTGATCGTTCTTATTTGAATATTTTGATGATGTACTGCTAGAGTGTGAATAGCCGAACAAAGTTCCCGAAGAATCGCCGTTGATTGTTGAACTCGAAGAAGTGAAGGTAGATGAGTTTGATTGACATCATTTGGTCGATTATTAGCTAGCGCATTAAAGAAGGATGTGAGTCGATGTCGAAAATCCATTGACCATTTTTTCCAAAAATTCCATTCGAGTAATTTGAGAATTCGTTGAATAATCGATGAGTCGAGTGGTTTTTGTCGTTCAATCAGATGTTGATAGATCTCGATAATAAATAAATTAATTGAAAAATTGTCAAGCAGTTTTTCCAGATGATTAATAACATTATTAGGAATGGCTTGATTTTGTCGACTCAATTGAGTAAAGATTAACATCAAATCAGGTGAAGGACAATCACCACTTTCCAGAAAGATGCGATCTAATAAAGCACGATGTTCATTATTATTAATATTTTGTCCATTAGAAATAACATTGAGGATGATAGGTATTAACGAAGATTGACGGTTGGCTGATTTCAATAAATCAAATAATGTATTGAGAACAAAGAATGATAATTGTTGCCCTTGCTCAGTTAAGTGAATTAATCCAGTAACAGCTTCCTCGATTGACAATTGATATGTCGAGTATTTTAACACTTGAGCAAAATAAATTTGACGAAGAAGTTCATCGATCAATTTCGGTAATGGTTGATGACGATCAGCAAAAGTGAGAAGAATGACGATATCGTTCGGATCGTTTGTCTTTAAAATCAATTGACCAAGAATATGGATTACTTTTTTTGATAGGATATGGCCAGTGCCAACAATAGTTTTCAAAATAGCGATGATGTTCGGCACACTTGGCGTTTCAGTGGTTAATAAATGTTCCAAACAAACAATAGTGGCTTTTCGTAGTGGTCGTCGACGAACGTAGGTTTCAACAACAGCGATGGTTGTGGAAGAAATCTTTGGTTCCCGATCATAAAGACATATTTCTATTAACTGAAGAATTGATTCAGGTAGATTATAATCTTTCTCTATCAATTGCCGAAGAAATTCCAAAGCCGAGATTTGTACTTGTAATTCATATGGTCGTTGAAATAAAAGCAATAATTTTTCTAATCGAACTCATACACGACGAATTGTTTCACTGCCATTTCGCACAAGTTGATCTTGCCAATAGGTGATAAATGTTCGACCTGCTGGATTTCGAATATGTAGTTCTTGATCATCTAAACAAAGATCGATCAGATCAACAATGGGCATTGATAATTCTTGTCCGTCATCCACTACATGTTTGAATGTCCAAATAACTTTTTGACGTAAGGAAAATTCTGGATGTTGAAGAAGTCGAGCAAGATTTTCCAAAGCTACAACTGGAATTTTTTCATGTTGTTTAGACATTTTCCGATAGAGAGACACGATATTATCTAACGAATTTTGATCTTTTTCTGATAGTAGAACTGCTAATTGTTCAAGAACTTTCGCAGATAAAACCATATTTTCGTCCATGCCATAATAACAAAGTGCCGCTGCTGCTGTTTGTTTGATACTCATCTCTGGACTGAGAAGTATTTCAATAAGATTGTTGATCAATTCTGAAGAGATCGATTGTTTACCTTTCGTTTCACGAATACTGTAAGCCAGAGCCCATAAACAGTTATTTCGTGCTTTGATGTCGTATTCACCACGCATGCCGACTTGACAAAGAATTCGCATCGTTCGATCAGAAAAAGTACGTTTCTCAGTAACAGCTGCTTTGAAGAAAAGATAACTAGCTGTTAAACATGTCTTAACGTCTTGTAAATTTCTTTCAAGCGACATTAAATCTAATTTTACATGATAACCTTTGGAAACATAGAGAGCGTAAATTTCGATTAAGTTCTGTTTTACTGCAGAATCGTTTGTTTTGGTTAATGCTTTTTCAACTCCTCTCATTTGTTGATCGCTTAATGCTTGTTGATTTTAACAAGAATTAAAAGAGTTTCAGCACATAGCCTAGAGACATTTCGTGGACCATCTATTAATTGTGAGAGTATTTCATTGATAATGTCTGATGAAATAACTTGCTCAGCCATCGCTGCATCTCGAAAAGCAGTAACAATAATTGGATGTATGGGTGATTCGGTCTTCCATTTCGTCCAGCCGAGAAAAGACGTCTCTCTGAACTTTGTTAACAAATAATCAAAATCTTGATCTTTTAATTGACCTGTTTTAGCTAATGCTGTTAGCTTTTCGATTCTTTGCAGGGCCGAATGATACCAAACTTGGCTGTGACCAAATGAAATCATTCTGGGTTGTACTTCGGCATTAAATGTTCGATCTAAATAACCGACTGTACCGAGTTTATGATCGGGACTAAGCGCTTTTGATGTTGGTTCGCTCGATTCTTCTCCGCAACAAGAGATCGATGGGGCTTGACTAACAGTCAATTCTTTCTTCACTTGACTATTCCCCATAAAACTTGCTGCATTCGATAAAACTCGTTTATGATCGAGAAAATCGAGTAATTCATGAATACATACAATGAATGCTGCATCATTATTCGTTGCGAGTTGACGTAATCTATCCATCGTTTTTCGTTCGAGAATAGCACCAACAATGGTCATCATATGTAATGCATTGACTGTTGCAATAAAAAGTCGTTTCGGAAGATCATCAACCATCACTAATTCTTCAAATTTATCTTTGATAAACGGTGCAAGTGCAACCATTCTTCGAACCTTGAACACTTGACTTAATGTATAAACGATCGTCGTACGAACTTGTTCGCTCAGTTTTTTATCGAACAATAATTCTGACATAGATTCCCACTTCGTATCGGGCACCATTGAAATGTATTTGTCGTTTTCAGACATTTTTCGAAATAGATAAGAAATACTCCAACCTAATGTTTCATCTTTCAACGAATTAAACAATAATTGAATCAATAATGGAGTAAGAAAATTCTTGATTGGTAATATCGTTGCAAAAGTCCACATAACACATTGACGAATATCCACATGGTTAATGGATAAAAGTTCGGCTAGATTGACGAAATAATCAGGTTCCACAAAGTCACAGTAGTGAGCTGCATGTGCACATAGAATATATTTAGCAGCATATGAATCTGATTGATTGGGATTATTCGCAGCAATATGACGAATTTCGTCGAGATATCCAACGGATACTTCCTTACCTTTCGCTGCATCCAAAGCAACTTCGAGCATCTGATCAGTGAGATGAGTAGCTACTAAAAATTAACAAGAGATGGAATATTAATTAAAAATTTGCATGTTCAACTTATTGACATATGATTCTCATGTCATCAGCCAATAAACAGGATTTCACACCAAATGGTGGTCTTTTAGTCTTTGAAATCTTACCGTTTTCTGATGAACACGAACTCATCGATGATGTAATACTTGATTTATTGTAATAATATCTTGAACTTAAATCTGAAAATAAGAATTCTTTGGTTATTACACATTGTCTGTACAAGTGCTAGTAATATGTAGTGGGGAAAATATCGGATAGGTCATAAAACATAAACTGCTTTTACTGGATCGACGCATCGATTTACTATCGTCTAGACGTTTTTTTATCGTTCTCCTTTATTTTATTTTTTTAATTTGCTTCTTTTTAACCCACGACCATGTCGGTCCTAAGGAGACAATTGAACTTAATTCAAGGGGGAAGAAGCGGATTCTGATGGATCCTAGGATCTACGAGGTTCCATCTGGACCCATAGTGACTCACATCTTCTATATTAACATTGTTCACTATCTGTCTGTCTGTGCCAGGTCAAAGGTAAAACGTTAAAGGTTAAAGATCAAAGTCAAACAATGCTATTGAGGGTCCTCAAAGACTATTGTATGGAAGTACTCATGAGTCCTTAAGAGACGGTCCACCAGAAGACCAACCAAGCCGGCCGGGGGGAAATTCTTTTTATGGTTTTTTTTATCTAAAATGAAAGATCGCTCCACCAAACTAACAAACCCAAAATATCACGTTTGTCTGACGTACCTGTGAAAAATGCTGGAACTCACAATCTTCAAGTTTTTGAGGGTACATCATAAAAATATGAAAAAATGACTTTTTTCATATTTTGACAGTATTTTGAGATTTTCTCCGGTTCTGCTCATCTTACTCTACCTCACCTTAAACCACCTTACTTTTGAGCTAAAAACCTAAAATATCTGAAATTTCCAAAAAGTTTTATGCTAAAGACGATTTTTTCCTTTTTGTACAAAAACTAATTAAAAACTATTATAAATGGATAATTAAACATATCAATACAAATGATATCCTAATACATCTGGAGATCCTGCTCTAAATATATGACTAAGAATCATCCAAAGAATTCAAACTTAAAACGATTTCTTATGATCTCATTAAATAAAGCGTTCAAAGTTACCCATAAATTCAAGTTTCTTACTCTTAGACCCTAAAAATGAGTGAATTACCGATTTTATACAAAAAGCCCCAGAAAAAAGCAGACTTTAAAAAAATTATGGTAACTACTTCTTATCCAACAGAACTGAACTAGAACTGTTCCTGTCCCTATTCTCTGGAAAATAAATGCTTAATTTATAAAATGGTGAAAGGATTTCCAGAAAGTTTTTTTTTCGTGATTTAGTACATTTTAGAATGCTCTAAGTTTTCTTAGAAATGATTCTGGAATTCTTTTAACAAATGCATTTTGTAGAGCAAACATTTTTCTACAAAATTAGATGTTTTACAGCTCTGAGAGAATCGTGATAACTGATTTGTAACAATTCTCCCGGATGCCCCAACACTAGTTAAAAACTGGTGCATGCCTACTTGTGATTCGTTTTTCATTTAATGAAAAGATGGTTATGCATTTTTTTTGAGTAATACAAAATCATTTTCCGTTTTATACTTCGCCGGAAAACCTTTCACCATTTTATAAATTACGCATTTATTTCAGATATTTTAAGGTTTTTAGCTCAAAAGTAAGGTGGTTTTCAGATTTGTCAGGTGAAATTTCACGCCTGGCCAATGATCTGTTGTTATGATTTAATGAAAAAAGTTTTAAAAAAGCTTTTATAATTAATCAATGATAATGAATACTAATTAATATTTAATATTACTCTGGTGCCTTACAGATTTATGTGCAAATTTATGGTTTATTGGAAGCGGTAAAGTGATACGTCATTCGACAGAGATTTTCAAGCGCTACAAACTCCTGTATATGTCTTTTCAAAATGTTACCGAGTAGTAGTTATTTGTATTCAGTTTTAGGCAAACGGGGTTTCTACTATTGATTTCTGAACAGAGCGGCCATGAATATTTTTGAATAACTCGAGAATGAAAAGAGAGAGAGAGCCTAGGTTTTCAGCATTTTTTGCGCAAGACAGACCTGTCTATCTGTTGTGGTTCTCGAATGGCAGGCATTTTCCTGGCGTAACAATTTATATAATACTGATGGGTTTTGTGAGTGTGAAGAAAAAAAGATTGAGAGTAGTCTACTAAAACAGATCGATTTGTTACTTCTATTAGAATACTCTTTGGTATCTATAGAGAATACAAAACGGTTTTGGTTTCAAAATCAGTTGTGCAAATGGATTTTAGAAAACCGGTCTGGCTTCCTAGATGTTCACCATGTCTCTCTTGCAGCATTCTGCAATCTTTTCTCATCAATGTCTGTGCTGAGTGACCGTGGAGAAACTTGTCTGTATTTTTATTTTTGGCAAGTTAAGTACTTTTGTATCTTTTCTTGTAGAGTCATAAGAGCTTTTCCCATGTCAAATAACCTTCCGGAAAATGTACACCTTAATATTTTTAACTATAACTTATCAATATTTTACCGATGTTTTTAAATTATATACCATTCAACAGAGTATTCAAAGAGATTACTCTCATTTCGTCCCGTCCCATTTTGTCCCATACTTGTTTCGTTCCCTCTCGTTTCGCCCCGTTTATTTTCTAGCATTCTACTCATTTTATAACTATTTTTTTTCTATCACCTGTATACTAATCAATATTGATATATAATTCCTTAAGATAATGTAAGAAATTGATAGATGGCTTTATAAGCTACATTTATTATTTTATTTACGAGTTACAATGAAACAGGTAATTTTACAGTATTAACACATTGCCACATTTAATTGCAAGTTCAGTTCTAGACAAAGTACCATTTTCATATCATGTAAAATATTCCTTCAATTTATTATCACAATTGTTGTAAACTTTCAGCCATCTCGATTCGTCAGATCCTTGCCATTGTTTCATTCATGAGTATTGTTTCTTTGCAAAAGCCTTTCCATTAAACAGTTAAATTCTATCATGGAGTATACAAAATGACTTCGTTAACATTAAATTGCTATTATCCAGGTTTAGAAAAACGAAGTCCATATTGATACGTATCAACGTATGAATATGCCATGTATCAGTTTCTTACATTATCTTAATGAATTATATCAATATTAATTAGTACACAGTGTATAGATAGAACAAAATGAATAGAATGCTTGAAAAAAAAACGGGACGAAACGAGAGGATACCATTCAAAACTGAAGAAATTTAGAATAGTGTGATATCTCTGCTTTGCTATACATCTTTTTTTCACAGTAGCGTGATCATTCTAATGACTTTCACTTCTTATTGATGGAAAAAAAATAGAATATTCCTGACATAAAAAAGATCTTCTCAGCTGTCTATTAATAGTTTGGTTTTGCACGCATGAAAATGCGTGTTAAAGTCAAAATATTAAGGTATACGTTTTCTAGAAGTTTATTGGACACGAGAAAATTTTTTATAACTTTATAACAAAAAAGTTTTTTCTTTCAACCAACAAAATTCTGCCAGATCTCGTAGGAAAAAACTTGTGCATTGAATAAGTTAAAAGTCTTGCGATGTTTCTTACCTTTACGCAGGATTTTTTCCATGCTGACCCTGCATAAACTGTGCAGGATTCTGTCAGGGCTGGCAGTATAAAAATCCTGCGTAAAGGTAAGAAACATCGCTAGTTACCTTAATACCGATAACCTGCAGGATCCTGCATAAATTTTGATTATTTTTTCCAGTGGGCGGTGGAATAAAAACCATTGATGAGTGCTTGAAATTGGAGAACTTTGGTTTCAGAACCATTCGTTTATCTGTTCGATGAATATCAAAATCTACAAGAGAAGGTTGTCGCGTGAATGTTTATTTTGTGTGTTAGTGCCAAAGATAAAAGGAATAAAAATAAAAATTTTTGATGCACGAACTTAGGATAAAAGCTTGAAATTAATCACAAGAGGGCTAAGACTTTGATCTATCGAATAGTAATCAAAACGTTTCTAGGTGGAATCTTGATGTAAGAAAGGAAGATTCTCGTCATACGGTACTGTAAAGATTGAAAGCAGGAGAGCCAAAATCATCCCCCCCTGTGGCGCTCGTTAGGCGATTCAACTATATGTTGACCTTTCTGTATTTAATATAAGAAAAAAGTCCGTCGAACATCAGTAGTGCATACACTTATATAACATCAGAAAAAGAGAAAAATGAACGAGAGAAAAAAAGCAGCACGACAGAATAATTCAAAAAATCCTTCTGATGCATTCTTCCTTCGGTTCTTTATTTATTATGAGCCATAACAATGATTCAAACTGGGAAAAAATAAACGCTGGAATTTTCCAACTCTTTCATATTATATTAACCTGTTTCAAAGTACACAATTCTTTTCATTGTTTTTTTTTCAGATGAATGTAAGTATAAAAACAGCTTTTTTTTACAATACGATAACTTATTCGACGCTGATTGCTTTCCATAATTATGCTTGTGAATACGGTAACTTCGATAAACCAAAATAAACTTAAAATACTACCGAGTACTTGACGTAAACAAATCGTATCACTTTACTCTAAGGGAAAAACGTGAGAATTCTGTACTTTTTCAATACTCCTCATGCCTCAAAAACTTTTGAAGTACAGGAGTCTCACATTTTTCCCTTTGTTACAGCCTTTTTTAGTGCTTCCTATAAGGGAACCTTTCATAATAAATTTGTATGTTCTCAACAGCGACAAGAACTAGATCTTTGTTCTTGTTACTATATATAATATAAATCGTGGACAATTTTTGATAATATTAAAAATGTCTTCTCGTTTAATATTCTTTAAATGGTTCCATACACCATCCATGGAAGCGGATTCGTATAGGGTACTTGTCGTTGCTGAGAATATGCCAATTTATTAGGAAAGGTTCCCCTATAAGTCGCACTAAAAAGGGCTGTAACCGTACTTATTGCAGTTGTTCTCCAGAAAGATCCATTTATCTAAGTTAAAGTTTTCAAACTCATCATGTGTGTATGGGGTGTACTTACTATAAAAGTATCAGCCAAATTGATGATATTGGTTTAGCTGTATGTCACCTATGCTAGTTGTAGCTTATCTGCAATGGCTCTTATTGGTGTGAATTAGAGACCGAAACGGGTCGGGTCGGGTTCGGGTTAAAGTAAAAAATATTGATTCGGGTCGGGTCAAAGCAAAAAAAGTTCGGGTTTTATTCGGGTCTTGCCACTAGAACATAAATCAGAAGAGTTTCGTCGGTTACAATTCACTCTTCTATTTTCAAACATATGTCTTTTTTATCAAAAAGAGAAGTACAGTGTTTTTTCCTTTCTGCTATGACGCTGTGTAATGTACAGTCTCGTACTGTTAAAGCAAGGAAAGAAAAGAAAGATATATAGAAAAACGTGTTTAGTAATTGTGTGTTATGCTTTTATTTTTGCCCTATTGGGCCTATAAAGACAATCGTGAACAAAAAAAAGGAAAGAGAAGTTAGATATAAAAAGTTAAAAAGTTAAGAAGTTGGACAATTAAAAAGTTCTACAAAGATTTAAAAAAGATATGACCGGGGAGAGAGATAGAACAATTCACAAAAACGAATCAGGAAAGACACAAAAATTGTCAAACTCTGTTTCAGGTAGCTGAAGAATAGAGTTATCACACTTAATTTTTAGGCTCCACATAGCACATTTTTGAATAACAGAGAGATGCGGAGTGAAACGTTTTGAACGAAAGAACTTTTTAATAACAAATGCTTTTAGCAACCACTGTTCTCTATACACATTTAACGCGTATAGGAGGGCACCATCAGTTGTAAGTTCAAACGCCCGCCAATATTTTTTCCAATAGGAGACGCAATGATACTCAAGCGTTAATTCTTTGTACATAAATGCGAAGGTGAAATCATTCCACAAAATCGCGTCATACACTCGACGTAAACAAGTACAATAAAAGTGGGAAAAATCTGACTGCTGACATTCTGTAACAAGGGAAAGATGGGGAAAATCCAAGTAACTAGGGGAAGCACATACGTAAAAAACAACATTCGTTTAAATTCTAGACTAGTGCATCCGTTCACTCTGCAAGATTTTACCATAGCGATCCTTTGCCTAATTTTTGTTTTGGATATAGACATCCCCTTCCCCCATCCTAGTCTAAAAGTTAACCAGCAGCCTAAATATTTAAAACTAGTTACCCATTATATCTGATGGATACCACAAAAAATAGCCTCTCTTAATAGCGAACAAGCGAGAACATTTTCCGTTCATTTAAGTAAAGCCGTGCCCATCTTTAAGCCAAATACCTGTCCAGAAGGGAGAGGGGATAAACGGAAACATAAAAGCGGAGATGCCATGTGAATCGAAAGAGGTTTTTTTCTTAACTTTGGACACTGCTTTCATAAGTTCTGGCAAGGTTATTAGTGGGATGAGTTCGTCCTGGTTCTCCCAGATCATCCCAGGACAGTCGACATATGGGTGAGGACGGTACACGATTGTCTCGTCGAACAAGTTTTCGTAATAGTCAGCCGCCATACACAGCATGTCCTCCGTATTATCGATAACCTCACCGTTTTCTGACAAAAAGGCTTTTAAAGTGCAATAGCTCTAAAATTCTTCCTCACTTTTGACCAAAACCCAACAGAGGATCTTGAAGAGGTATATCGCTCACTCATAGATTGCCCCAAACGAGCAAGGAGATAATCAAGAAGCTCAGCTTTGTTTCTTTTTCTTAATTCTTTGATTTTTACTTTTAGAAGAGCGTCACCTGTTCTTCTGGCTCTCCATGGCAGAACTCGAACATATGAGAGTTTGATCCGAAGCTCCTTAGAGATCGCGACTCGATATTGTTTTAGAGAAAAATTAACCGTACAACAAGATTTTAGGAGGGAAAGAAAAGAAATAAAAGTAGGATAAACAACTTCCCAAGATGAATGCTCCCATTGTAATGACCAGAAATCAGAAATAAACGACATAAAATAATTAAAAACAACCCAATGAGTATTATAACTAAACGCAGTTTCTTTTCGCTCGCACGTGATAATGCCAAGAACGGGTTCATGGTCACTTGTGGTATTGGTATCCCAATTTTGAACTACAAGGGGAACTCCAGTAGCGAGCGCATAATCAATGAGACGGTAAGAACGTTTAGAGGTCGCCTTATTAGGAAGAATAGGTGACAAAAAGAGAGAATCGGCCCACTCAAGGAGGGTTGTGGACCTAGCATTATCAACCGGATCGTCTAGATCAACATTAAAGTCACCAAAAAACTCACACGAGCTAGAGACAAATGGGGAGAGGACGTCCCACGTCCATGATCTACTTCTGGGAGTATACACCCCAACGATACGTAAGACTTGCTCTAAGGTGATATCTACTACACACATTAGGTATATCACATTTTACTCGAGTACAGAAAATACCTGAACGGAAAACTAACACGACACCTCTACTATTTTCACCGGCCTGGTAAAAGAATCTAAACCCATTGAAAGTTTGTGAGAGAAAGGAAAAATTTATCGCCCCTATCTCTAATAAAACTAGACAATCGGAGTTCGACTTTACGAAAAAAAGTTAAACTTCCTCCCATCTCTCGGCTAAACTCCGTACGTTAAATAGTAGAACATTGAAATGAGTGAAAGACGCAGATGAAGATAAGTCGTCCTGCTCAAACCGTTTCTACGACGAAAGGCACGAGTTTAGAGTGGGGAAAGAGTTCCACTCCATTACAATATCAGACAAAAGCGAAAAATTAAAATGCGAGAGTAGAGGTTCACATAACTGAACCGCAAAATCAAAATCAAAACCTTTTTTTCTAGAAGATGAAGGGGAAAAAATAAAAGAAGGGGCTAGAGCGGATAGAGTCATAGTTTCGTACCTTGATTGGCATAAGATGCTAATTGTGACAGTTTTTCAATTTTCTCTTTTTTCATTTCTTTATCCTTATACTGTAATTTCCACTCGGAGAAGGCATTTATATGATAATCGAATCGTTGAGCTAGAGATTCAATTGAAGCTGTTGGAATTGATTCTTGTTGGATTAATTTTGGTAGCACTTGTAATACCGTTTGATAAATTGGCATAAGAAAGTTTTCGATAGTCTCACCCAAAAAAGTAACCTCAACTTGTTGAGACATTAACTTTTGACTATTTTGATGAATGAGTACTGCATGTGACGTAGTTAATTCAGTTATTTGTTTTTGTTGTGCAAGCTGCTTTTTATTTATATCTAATAAATACTTTAATTGATCAGAAATATCTCTGACATCCCGATCGAGTTGATTCAGACGATTATATACTACATCATTCGCCCTCCACCCCCATGTATTCTGAGTTGTGTTTACATTCAATGGTGGGAACTCCTTAATACCATTCTGTCGTACAAATCCTTGTTGCCGTTGCTGTTGTTTATTGTTGTCATGTGTAGATGAAGATAACAAAGACTTTGTTAATTCGGTACGAAAGGTTTTAATAGTTAGGCATCTCGAATCGGTTGAATCGTGATTATTTTTACATCTAATGCAATGTGGCTGTTTATCACAATTTTCTTCTCTATGTTTTTTAATATCATCCACCTCCAATCCGCATGTCCTGCATTTATCTTTTTCATATTTACAATCACTCCGAAAATGTCCGAGTTCAGAACATTTTGAACAGAGCAGAACTTTTGCTGGCGTAAAATATTCGCTCACCGGGTATCGTTAATATTAACGTGTTTTCGTTTGAGTAGGTCGTCCATAGTTTTAACACTTTTAACATCTAATCGTGCCATTGTTGTTGGTAAATTATTTTTATTAATAAAACGGTGGAGATTGATAATGTCAGGAAAATCTTTTTGCAGATCATTTAACAATTCATTATCCTGAATATCCAACGTTACGTTACGGATAACTAACGAAAACTGAGATGGAAGCCGACGGGGCAGCGATTTCTCATAACTCTTCGAGCATAAATTAGGCGGCCAATTTTTTTCATCAAACAGAATGATGAATGAATCTCGATCCTTAACAAATAGAAATAATTGACGATTATCTTTTAATCTGTATCCGTCCAATGCGAAATCTAACCTCAAATTGTCCACAATATGTTTTTTTAATTCATTGATCACTTCATTTTCCTGAACCTTATCCTGGAATGTAACGACAAGTGGGAGAAATTTATAGCGAGTTTCGGCGAAACGAAGGGCTTGCTGAGAGATCAGATCGATGTTTTGACCGTTGTTATCTGTGTTTCGTGGATAGGGATGTTGATCCATAGATAAAGAGTTTCGACGTTGGAAGCGTGGACTAGGTAATTGACGATTAGCGGTAGGACGATGGATATTTGAAGGAGGTGAATCATTAATGTGACGTAACTCATCATTACTGGCACTTACATTGTTTGATTGGTGCTCAACTACCATATTAATTTCTTCGTCAATTGTTTGATATTGCCGTGACAAGAGAGAACTTGGAAAAGCACGCTGATAGTATTTAGATGATGATGATGATGGAACAGCACGAGATGGATCATGCTGGAACAAAACCGATGATTCACTTTGTTTATTCGTCGTCGCACCGCATTGTTGCTGTCGCTGTAATTGTTGGTTCGTATCAGAAATAAAAACCCCTGAAGTAATTCCATTAGAAATATATGGAGACGGTGTTTGACTAGGATGAATGGGATATTGTACAGGTACTTGATGTTGTAAACGAAAATTTTCTTGCAAGGGAGTAGAATGAGGAAAAAATTGACCCGTTCCCATGTCAAAGGTACCATATAGTAAGCTGTTAGCATTCTGGACCACTGAAGCTGTTGTATAGCCTTGCGGGGTGGCCATCCCCGACCTTAGTGTTACTTATATTCACCCCAAATTTCAAACGCGTGCTCAAAAATTGTATAAAGTAAAGAAGAGGAAGAAACTTACTACTACAACTATATGTAGATAAGTACAGAATACAGCATTGTTTTTGATATATCTGTAACTGAATTCTTTTACCTTTATTGACAGACAGTTAGTCGAAGACACTGCTTTCTTTGTTAAAACTGGCTTCTAATGAATTTAACTATACTTCATCCAAAATAAGTACGTAGTTCTTCTGTTAAGTAATTACTAGGGAATTAGAAACGCAATCGGTTCTCTCGTTTAATCTTCACGTTAATTAAAGCGTGGGTGATTTTTGTATGTTGCTGTTTTAGCTCAGAATCAGGTGTTCAAAATCTACACAATATGTTGTTGTTAATGATTCATGAAATTCTCGGGTCATTTGGGTCCAGTTTTGCAAATTTCGGGTTGGATTCAAAAGCCTTCGGATCGGGTCGGGTTCGGGTTAATATAAAAAATATTGATTTGGGTCGGGTTCGGGTCATCCATGTAAGATCCGATTCGGTCTCTGCCCTATTATAAGTCTCATGGATGAACAACATTATTCAATCGCAAACACATTTTTTGGTACATCTGTTAATAGTAATTTCGCATCGTTAGCGAACGAACATGAAATGCTAGCTAACTCTTCCACCATTGCGCAGATCTCAATTGACGTGAGAAATGGAGATTGTCTACCGCCGAATTCACTTTGTGAAATTCGAAAACTTTCCAATGATATTCATGCAGTCAACTCAGACAACGAGAAATATATTCTTTGTGCACATGCTGCGCACCATAGCGATTTCATTGAACCAATATACTTCGACAACCTTTCGAAATTACTAATTGAGACAGACGAAACAATACGTCAGTGTGTGCTATGGGCATTTACGTCGACGATGGCATGTTCCGTTGCTCTCACTCCAACGAACATTGATCTTGTATACAATTTACTGACAGATAAATCATTAGGATGGAGCGCTTCATTCTTCTTTCGCAAACTATCGGAGAATGAAGAGTACACTAAAATGATTTCCGATGGAATATGGATATCAATGATAGATTTACTATTCGATCAAAAAATGGACGAACAAGTTTGTATAATTATTGTTCAGACAATAAGCAACATTTTTAGAAGCAGGAAGTCAATATCGAATGAAATTAAACGACGCTTGCAGATATTGATAATGAGTGACAATGTATCCGAAAAGTTGCTTCTTGCTGCCATACATGCACTAAAAATGCTAGTGATTGATGAAGAACAATTGGAACCAGAAACATTGAAACGCTTACAAGAATTGATGATAATGAGTAATGAAACAGTGGCGGAGTGTGCGCGCGAATTTCATTATATCCTACATGATAAACAAACTCTGTCCAACGTACAGCATCATACACGGAGTTCTCAAATGAAATCTGAACTTGTTGCTACTCAGAATATATTAATCTCTCATTCTAAGGAAGAATTCATCGAGCCCACGAACGAACTTCTACCGCTAGACTATCTGATCAGTCAAGATGATCAGACTGATCAAACATTTAATCAGGAACATCAATCGAAAGTTATTCGATCAGGTGACCATCAACCATTTTATTATACGATGATGATGAAGATCAAGAATCTTCATCATGTAGCTAGACAAGGAGAGCTGACACTGAAGGACTTTTTTTATTTAACACGAAAGCTTAAAAAAGACAGTTATACATTTTTAACATTAGAAGACACATCTACTGTACACGAAAGAATCATAGAAGTTCTTCGAAGTTCTGCTGAAGTTGAACAAAATATACCAAGATACGTTGTCGACACAATAATCGATTGCTTGACACCTGAGACAAAAAAATTAAATCGCTTATGTGTTGACTGCCTCTTGATCATTCTGGGCAAGCAACATCAGCTTGAAAATGTATACATTGATAAAATCGAACAAATATTGATGACAACCAACGATATGGAAGTAAAACAAAAGCTTATCGAGATATATGCTGATTGCGCATCAAAAGGTCACCACGTACAGCTTGATCTTGAATCGATTCAACAAAATCTACAGAGTAAGACATCTTGTGTGAAAGTCAGTTATCTTTTTTTCAAAGCTGTTGCAGTGGAAAAGCGAACATTGTCACCTGAACAAATACTTATTTTGACAGATGTAGCAATGTCAAAGCATTATCTTTTGAAAGCACGTGAAAATTGTTCATGGGCTCTAGCATACAACATAAAGGAAACGAAAGACAAAAAATCTTTTTCATCAAAACTGCTAGATGACCTCGGACTAATGTTAGAAGATCCAGCTGAAACGATTAGACATTCATCAGCTCTGGCTGTATGCTACTATGCTGATGATAACAACTGTGATGTACCAGATAATATACTTGAACGGTTGGCAGTTGTCTCACTCAAAAGCGATTCTCATATATCATGTAACATATTATCTGTCTACTTGAAATTAACTAAAAGGAAATATTTGCCTACCGTTATTCTTGACAATATCTGTAACCTCATCTACCATCCAGAATTTGATCTTCGATACCGAAGTATATGGATACTTAAATGTGCTGTAGATAATGGTCAAGAATTAACGTCCAATATATTAAAAATAATCGACTACTGTTTGAAAAGCTCTGAATCTGGTGTTTGTAATACGGCAGGAATGATTTTTGTTAACTATTGGCGTCAACGAATAGTGCGTAATGATCGTGACCTCGCGTTTGCTTTGTCAAGTAACATAGAAAACTTGGTATTCATTTTTCGAAATCGTTTGGAATTGAATGTACGTCGTGAAGCTCTTCATCTACTCAAATTGCTCGTTGATAAAAACTACGATCTGACCAACACACTTTTGCAACTTATAGAATACTGTTTTTATGATAGTGACGCATCGATTTCGATATGTGCAGTGAATATTTTAACGTCCTATTCAAAACAACATATTTTACCAACGAGAACAATTATTTGTTTGGAAAATTTGTTGACCACTGAAACAGCAAATGTAGCTGATATTTTACCTGTTTTGAAGAAAGTTGTCGATCAAGGTCACATGCTGTCAGAAAAATCAATCACGCATCTTGGCTATTTACTACTCAAGATCGACGATCCGAATAACGTAGTTATATTGCTTTCACATGTTGATCGATATCAACCACTTTCGAAGACCGTCAATGATCTCCTTCGACAAGACTATTATACAAAAATTCTTCGCTACTCCACCTGTGCTAGAAGTTTAGACGAAGCCATATCTGGATTCATCAATCTAACTGCTAATGGCACACAACTATCTCAATCTGTTCTGGATTCTTTATTTTTTTTATTAAAATCGTCCGATCGACAAATGAAACTTATGCCTATTGTCGTCAATGTAACAGAAAACGGGCAGCAGTTAAAGAACAATGAGCATATTTGTACACTTACTCGAATCTTTTTCGATTCGGACGATAAATCATTGATTGATTTGGTACGAATTTTTCGAAACTTAAGTCGCATGAACCAAGTCATTCCTGATCCTGTTATAGAATTTTTAGAAAATTTCTTGGTTAATTCATTACTTACTGGTTATATCATTGAAATTTTTCAACATTTAATCGAGCGACAGAAACTGAAAAACCAATCAATCATTGGTAAAGTTTTAAAAATGCTACATTTTAGTGAATCTACCGTAATGAATACCGAGATTTACTATAGACTCGTACGTTTTTGCAAAGTCGTCGCTAACAACCAACCAAATGAAATCGATCAAGCTCGTATACTTTCAATGCTTCAATTCACTCAATCAGCAATCGTTCGCAAAGATGGATGTACACTTGCCAAAGCCTTAGCTGAACATGGCCAAACTTTAACAACATCAGTTATGGATGCACTCGTTCATATATTGAATAATGATACTGACATTAATATTCAAGAGTATGCATTAACAGTTATGAATCTAGCAAATTCGGACAATCAAAATATGGATAATGATTTTGTACAGATGCTTGACACGATTGATCACCAAAATACAACAGACGACGAATTTCTATTAGAAATATCAAGAAAAATCTCTCGAACGAGTTTAAAATTATCTGAAAAAGATCTGTTGCGATTGTCACATATGCTTTACACTTGCAATATTGATTCAAAACGGAAAGCGGCTAGCTACATCGTATCAGTTGCTGAAAATGGCAGAAAGCTTCTAGATGAAATATTTCATATTATATATGCCACTCTTCGTGATGATACTGTTAATATTTATACTATCAAATTACTGCTCAGGTCATCTGTAAAACAGCCGGCGTTTTTAATTAATGACCTCTTATATCTGGTCGTTTATTCAATGCATAGTGTTGTGCGAGAAAAAGCTCAAAAAATACTTGCAGATCATGGCGACAATCCGAAAGTGCAATTATTCTTTAACACCGAACGAAATCCAGAAAATCTAGATAAAATGGTATCAAACTATGATGTTTATCTTATAGAAAAGTTATCATCAAATAATGAAAATGAAATATTCATGGCTTTAAAAGTCATACAAAATATGATAACCGTAGAGAAACAAATTGCGTCTGATCTTCTTCTTGCCGTGACTTTGAAACTCAACACTCATAACGACATTGTTGCAGACATACTTTGTGCAACAATGATTCATAGAAGTAGAATAGAAGAAGATATTTACCAAGAAATTGAGAAAACTTTTCTTATTTATCAAACACCAAAAATGATGAATCTCATCCGAATATTGGCAGAACAGCAAATCGAATTGGAATCAAAGACAATCAAAACTGTCTTCAATATTCTCTGTAGGAGAACAGATGAAAAAGCATTATGCAGGGACGCAGTCATAATTATGGAACAAATAGCTCGACATCAGCTTTTATCAAAAGAAATTCTTTCCTATTTCGTTGAACGAATTTCTAATGAGTCCAAAGAAGATATTCAGACTAGTTTTAATGTTATACGCTATCAAATCCTACATAGTCAAATGGATGATATGCTTGACTCATTACCGATAATCCCACTTCCGCAAGGAATTGATAACCAAAGATTGTTTCAACTGAAAACATTCGAACAATATCTTGGTACCGTGCAAACTTTACTTTTTGTAGATTCCTTTAATCCAACAGTATTAAACTGGCCGGCAGAACGATGGTCACGTGAATGTCTGTGCTTCGATTTACTGAAAAGATATCAGGATGCAACACCTGATTCAGTGTACATTTTCTACCATCAATTGACTCTACTCGAAATATCCAGACAATACGGATTTTATAGCGATGTGCGTGATTTGATCTTACAAACGCTTATTCAAAAACAATGTACGTATTCCTTAGATCTAGGGACCATCAGTGATTTATTGATTTATCTAACTATATTAAAAAATAATCCATTACAAATGCTACAAGCAAACGAACCTAACTGGTTACTTAATATGCGTCGATATTATGTTCGAGAGAAAATGAGTCAATATTTAAGCGACAGTATATTTTCAAAGTCAATGATCGATCATATAGTTGATCGAATTACTGAACAAGAAAATCTTCCAGCAGAGTTGATCGAATTGTTTCTCCAAACGGCGATTAAGCCTGAGCACATTCTGATATTTCTCCATCTTATGAGTGATTACGGATTGACGAAAAATGATGTTACAAGCTTATTTGCTAGTCTAAAAGTCACATCAGGTTTTAAAACCTTAAAAAAACAGATGGAATGTTTTATTCTAAATCGGACATTGGCATCTCGTTGGTTTGGTTCTCCAAATGATCTAGCACTTGGTCGAGTGTATTTAGAAGCTTTGCTTAACAACGGATGGACTTTTGTAAGACTCAATGATATGCTAAAGGCGATTAAAATCGATTCCGACACATTTGATACTTTCAAGGAATTTCTTGTCTGTTTGAAAATTATCGTCGATTATGAAATGAACGAAAATAGTGAGACTGAACTAAACACAATATTTTCTACCATAGGTCATCAATTGTGGCGATCAAAGGTTCATTCTATTGCCATAGAAAATCAATTTGGTTTGACAAGTTCTGAGAAAAATCTTTTCATGCTATTAACTGAAATCGATCATGTCAATAAAACAAGGTTCTTGACTGAATTAACTCAAACAATGAGTACTATCGATCAAGCGTTCAGATGCGACTCGTCGGTCCTTCGACAAAACAAGCCAATTAGTGAATGGACAATATCGCACATTCAAAAATGGGCTCAACAATTTTTGCTTCAGCAATCGGAAAAACTAAGTGGAGTAAGACTATATGAAATAATGGCAGTCATTAAACGTGCTATTTATCTTGATTTGAACGTTGAACCACGTGCTATTCAATTAGTATCAGTTTTAATCGTTCTTGATTCGAATCATCAACGGGGACGTTTACTACAAATATTGACCGGAGAAGGGAAATCAACGATTGTATCTATCTTAGCAGTGATCAAAGCGCTAGAACACAAAAAAGTCGATATAGTAACAAGTTCGATGGTATTAGCCAAGCGAGATGCAAGAAAACGACAAATATTCTATAACATGTTCAATTTAACTGTCGCATGCAATGATGACGTCACCAGCTACGTATCGGGTCAAAAAGCATGTTATCAAGCGGATATTGTTTATGGTACTTGTAGTCAGTTTCAGTTTGACATTCTGCGTCATGAATACAGCCTGTTGGATACACGTAAAGATCGAGGCTACGATGTAGTGATTATTGATGAAGTCGACAGCATGCTTATCGATGAAAACAGTACTATCGCTCGTCTCGCCGATCCTTTACCAGGTATGGAGTACCTCAATCCATTGTTATACGGCATATGTCAAAGCGTGAATAATGATGAAGAAGTAGAAGCAAATCGAGATGGGATTGTTGAGCAAATTAAAGATCTGATTAACAATCCAAAACCTGCAATAAAAATACCTTGCCATCTGCATGATTTTGTCCATCAATCAATTCCCTCATGGGTTGATCATGCTATCCGTGCCAAAATCGAATACCGACTGGATCATCATTATTTGATCAAAACAGATGAAATAGGTGTGAAACGTATTACACCTATCGATTATTCTAATACAGGCGTCATACAATGTAATACTACATTTAGTAATGGTGCACATCAATGTCTTCAGATAAAACACGGATTAAAAATGACTCCTTTAACTGTTACTACAAATTATATGTCTAACGTAGGTCTGTTTACCCGCTACAAAAATCAAATTTATGGATTTACTGGTACTCTTGGCTCCGAAAGTGCCAAAGATCTTTTACGAAAAGTTTATAACGTGGATACAATTGTCATACCGTCTTTCAAAGAGAAACGTCATTTCTCATTCAATGCTATACTGACCTCAACAGATGAAGAATGGTTGGAGACAATTACTTCAAATACGGTGAATAATATGGACCTTAACCGGGCAGTGTTAATCATTTGTGAAACAATACTTGATGCTAAAACAGTTGCCAAAGCAGTTCAACGTGCTTACCCGACTGGCACAGTCCATCTGTATACAGATAATACTGATGCTATTGAACCTAACGTCATTTCAAATCGAATTCAACCTCGACAGATTATTGTTGCGACAAATTTAGTTGGTCGTGGAACAGATCTACAGACTAGTCCAGATGTCGAAAATAGCGGTGGTCTTCATGTTTGTCTGACATTTTTGCCAGACAATTTGCGTGTAGAACAGCAAGCACTTGGTCGAACATCTAGACAAGGCAATCGAGGCACATCGCAGATGATTCTACGTTTACATCGTTTACAACTTCAAATGTCCTATCCAGAGTATGCATGTGGAAATGAAAAAGATCTCACTGATCCCATTCGTTTTATATATGAATGGCGAGAAAAGGCTGAGTGCGCTCATTTAGATCGAATTTTGGAAAGAGAAGTTCCAGAAATCAAAGAAAAAGATGATTTATTTCGACAATTTTGTGATCTTCTTGGTAAACTACGAACGCAGGATAATGACTTCTATAAATTACTCAGCGTGAAAGAGCGATGGGCTCTTTGGTCAAAATCAGTAGAACATGCACATCAAGCGCGACAAGCATTAGAAAAGAAAATAATAAACGCAGGATTTCGACTTGTAGACATACCTCGTGATGCCAATAGTCTTTTCCATGCCGTGTCTCATCATCTTGGTCGAGTGAACGATATAAATAAAATCAAAACTATGGTAATTGAACATATTGAGAAAAATGAAGAATTGTACAAGGAAATGGATGAGACATAACGACATTGGGCTATCAGCCGTGCACTCAACGTCAATATAGTTCTATTTCGTAGTGATTATGGTAGCCCATATGTCTATAAGCGTATAGGTGCACAACATACATGTTTCATCGGCTATGAAGTCAATACACATTATGTTCCAGTTGAACCATTGGATCCAGGTAATGAACTAGCAGAAGCGTATCTGGGCGACGTTGATGTTGACGACGTTGAAATACTAACATTAGCGTCAGAGAACAAAATTAAATCTATTGTATCCACAGGTTTACATAACTTGTGGACAGACAAAAAACAACAGAAACTTCACGATTTATTATCAGTAAGAACCGTCAGTACCGATCTAAAAACTGGCTTTAATGATTTCCAAAATCAGATCCTAGAAGAATACAAGACCAATAAAATCATCAAAAATCCTTATTACCTCATTCTAGAAGCTAATGAAACGATTGCTAAACTTGCATCATGGTTGAGCCATATGCGATCGATTACCAGCCATGTATTTGGTAACGAAAAAATGAAATCTATAGACGATGCTATCGCCAAGTTAAAACAAGCGATAGAGCTTGACCCTGTATTTGCGTTTAGTGCATCGGTTACTCTTGCTTATCTCGCTATCCACAAACATGAGCCGAAGCATACTTATAAAATTGATGCTAAATCGTATTTAGTTCAAGCTCAAAAGAATCTTGAACAGTTTATTTTACCACAACTATATAGTATGCATCGAGAAACAAACGAAAATAATGCTCAAGATTTTTTTTTCGATGATTTTGGCAAACAAACACAGATGAAAATCGAAATACTGGAATTGTATCAACATTATGTTAGTCAAGCAATCGGCATAATAGAGAGTTCACAGAAATTGGTTGATGTTTCCTCAACAAATAATGGAACAGTGCTCATGGGAAAGAAAATGTATGGTAATGAGATTAAAAAGTTTATTCAAAAACATCAAGGTACCATTGAGCTAAGTTTTCACGACCTTACAGTTCACAACGACATTATAAAACATGATCAAGCTCTTAACCTACTTGCTTTATTACCTGATGATTATAAACATATATCAATTAATATTATGAATGGTAATCGTGAAACTATAGATGAAATATTTTCAGAGACAAATCTATCTACTCTAACCTTAACTATTCCATATTTGAACGGCGATGAACTCATCAATCTTGTTCAAGAGAATTTTGTTGATCTCACTCTTACTGGATCCATCGAACAGTACAAGCGTGCTATCAATAGTTACCCTAGCGTAGTTGTTCTGGAGACGGATTTAAAGAGAGAACGATTATCACAAAATGATGGGATACAAGCTATCAAGCTTGAAGGCAATGTTATCAAGTCAGTATGTTTTGAATCAATTGATTTACAAATCGCAAATACGATTGTGAAAAATGTTGAAAAAGTACGTTACTCATTGACATTCAATCAAGTACCAATCTCTCAAATGCGTGAAATGATTAAAACTGTTCCAAAATCATTTTCATGTAAATTTCAGAACCTGACGAAATGGGCTGCATATAATTTTGTTAAGAACAGTAACGAATGCAGTTTCATCTTAAGCTTATCTGAATTGACAAATAACCATGCATGTGATATTCTGGAAAATTTTGATCGAAATGAACACGATGTCAATGCTAGTTTAAAAGCCATCACCGAGCATTTTATGTCTAGTGATCAGTTATACGAAGAACTTAATATATTCAAAAATTTGGGTGTGAGTCAGTTAATCGTCATCAATGAGCTTCATTCACGGCCTTGGATTAGCGTCTCCACTGTAGCCCTACTTGGCATCGGCCAAATTATCGGCGGTGTATGCTTAGGAGCTCTGTCTGGTTGTGTTGGCGGTTCTCTAGCTCTGTCTTTAATCTACGAAGGCGTCAGCGACATTTACTATGCCATCAAAGGAGCGATCTCTCGACAACTCTCATTTAGAGATTACGCTATTCAAAAAGGTATTAGTCTTTCTATTTGTTTCATTTCGATCGGATTGTCTGCAGTGAGTAAAGGGGCAAAAGCTGTTCAGACCGGTACACAAAGTACCATGCAATTATTGAAACAAACAGCTCAAGAAGCTAAGGGAATTTTGAAAAACGGTGTTCGTGTGCTTACGAAAGGTGCCATTCAAGGAACTGCGAAAGTTAGTTGGGTTTTAGCATGCGAAAAAGTTGGTATAACTTGTGTGACAACTGGTATTAGAGAAATCGCCAACTATTCTCTAGATATCACAACTAATAAGGTTTTATCGTCAGCCCGATCAACCATTTCTGATGAAATTGAGCGTATTATCAATACTGAACGGGACAATGAAGTCTATAATCGTATATTGAACCGAGCTCTGTCTGCTGATGCATATTTCGAAAACGATCGATGGGCACTAGAAATAGAAGAACTTGTGATAAAAATCTTGACAAAGCAAAAGAATGGATACGTCGAAATAGCTAAATCGCTTGGAAAAGGATTTGGAAATGTACTTCTCAATCACACGAAACAGTTCGCAGCAGAAAAACAAAAGAAAAACATAAACGATTTTCTCAATATCGGTCAAACATTACATTCAGTATATCGAATAACAAGGAATAGTTATGAAATACTCACAATTACAAACACATTTTTGGACACTTTCATGAGGGAATTAACTGAACTCACACCGAAAATACCAACTTTTCAAGATCTTCTTGTAAGTGCTTCAAATCGATCGATTTCCTTAGAGATGGCTGAAAAAGCTCACCAACTCCTAGTAGACAGCGATATTCTTACCAAGAATGGTGCTATCAACGCTCGGTTCCATAAGCTCGAAGAGACTTGCGATTTTGTCGGACAACATTGTACTTCGCATGAATATATTGATGAACCTGTTCGGAGTTTTAAAGGAAAACTGGTGAAAGAAGTGCAACAAATTGATTTTGCCAGTAATGATATCAAAAACTATGTACTGATCGTCTTGAATAAGCTTATTACATTCAATAAAAAATCCTTACGCATGTCCATAATTCACAAGAAGATTGTTCAACAGCTAGCTGACCAAATTATTTTGATCTTACATGCCAATGTTATGGCACATTTAACCACTTATATTGCACAAGTGATTGATTCATTCTCGGACAAAATACAATTAAAGCTCAGTTCGAAAGGTACAGTGAGTCAACAGTTGATGGAAAATTGTGCATTAAGAGAGATAAATGTTCTTTCTAATGATTTGGTGCGAGATTATCAGAGTGGAAAAATTCAACTAGCAGCTGACGCTGTAAAAAAACTGCATGATCTTAAGAAAAAAAGCAAAGATGAAAATTTCATATCAAAGAACTTTACGGAAGAACTAGCTCTTCGAGTTTCTGATAATAAACCAGGTACTATAATTGAAATTGGTATCCTTGCGGCTTTAACTGGCGTACCCATCTGTGTTATTCCACACTACACAAACAACGAATTGTCTGAAGAGAAAAATGTTAATCGAATAGAATATAGCGAACCGTACACAGATGAGTTCGTGAATGGCCATTATGGAACAGCAATGGATGGTGTGGTCACCGATGGTCGACAAGATTGCATGTATGCTGCTATGTTAAGGAAATCATCTAATCGTTATCAGTCAATACAGGACATGCGAACTACATGTGCCGCATTTATTTTGACTAATCCTGATTATATTGCAAGTGTTTTACCTGCGATCGATGTTATTTATGCAAATCCAAATGTACTCCGACAAAAGCAGATGATGATGGAAGGTGGCTCGCTTAGAAACGAGCAAAACTAAAGTCAGCCCTCACCCCAATACGACTTATGTGATAAACAACAGAGCACCCCACAGATGACATCTGTACCAGATGAAGGTAAGCGATCTTACACAGTGAGCAATTAACTGCCCTCCACATTAAAACGATTGTTTTCTACAAATTTCTTCTTCGTTACTAAGATTTTTTTGGTGCTTTCCGTCACCGCACTTCATCTAAAGACGTCCTCCTTTTTTCTTAACCCTTTCGCGCCGAGATTTTTTCTCAGTAAGAAATGTGTCCGTATCTAATGGAAAAATGGTTTTTCTTACAGTTTGTGAAAAGCTCGTCCATCTGGAAGGAAAGAAAGCTTTCTAGAAAGCACTAGAGATAAATCACGCACCATCATTGCAAAGAACAGAGCAAGAGAGAAAAATGACGTCGTTCGAACATACTAGCAGGAGAAAACGAGCTATGCAATAACATACATGTAAACAAAACAAAAGAAATGTCACTAGAATACGTGTCTGAGAGCGATATACTTTGATACTAATGGAGAGGAGAACTGGAGACAAAACGCACAAGTACAAGCCCTACAGATTTAACAAGCTACTGCTCTCAGTTCTTTTCGACAGACGAAACGAAGTATGAAATGCTTCGCATTTAGAAATACATATGTATTGTGAAATCATCATCACCATCGGTCTTTCTATCCTTGTAATAGATAGAACTCCTCAAACACTTGAGTAAAATTGTATTTGAAGCTATATTAATACGGGCATTTAATGAAAAACCTAGCCGTCCCATATATGGGACACCCGGCGCGAAAGGGTTAACGATTTTTAAGTCTCAAAAAGGGTAAGTTCGATTATGTTGAAAATTTTATGGTGAATAAATCACCTAAAGTAACGAAATAGGTTATTATGAAAAATACTTGTGTAAATCAGCTTTTACGGTTACTGTGAAACTCACTAGTTCTTCAGAGGGTTTTGCTTAGTCACTTGGCCAGTATGTCAATCATTGTCTAATGGAGTTGAATTTTTTTGGAGATAGCTGCGACTATATCTCAGAAGTAGTTTTGGGCTCTGTAAAAAATGTAGCTCTCTTTTTGTTATAAAATAATATGTGAAGAGTTTTTGCCAGGATCAAGTCTGTCACTTTGAAAATTATATAAATCCGAGAAGAAACGTTAGAAAATAAAACCATCGATTTTACCTTTGGAGGACACTACAAGGTATTTGTGGTGAAAACTTCAGCTCGTTCGTATAAACCTTCATACATTCATCCAGGTACAAGATAAATGTCTCTAAAAAATCAGCAAGTTTCCAATAAACAAAGAAAACCACCTTACAGAAGTTTTTCATTGGACATATGGCTCATCATTTTAGATCTTCTATAATGCCACGAAATTTTTAACCCAATTGGACGGACTATTTTTGAGATCTTAAAATTGTAAAAAAAACGAGAGTACCCTAAACTTCTGTTTACTTATTGATACGAAGTTGCCAAAGCGTTTAACAGCATCATTTCAGTGAATTTATAGAAGAGATCCCAATGTTCACCATTATAAATGCAAAATAATAACGATGTCAAGATTAGTGTAGTTTTTTACTCATAACTTCAATAGAAAAGTCACCGTGGAATCATTAGAACTTAATGTTGAAAACGAATCAGTCTTATTTAAAATAAAGCTTGGACTCAACTAATGATCAATTCAAGTAATTTAAAGCGGAGCTGCAGAATTCTTACCAAGCTCAAACAATAATCTTATTAGAGCAACAAAATTTTTTCTAAATATAAAGTCGATAAAATGTTAAATTTTCTTACTAACTGATAATTTTGAATTGAAAAGATCTTGATGCCATGATGTCATACATTTATTTTAGGCAATATGTTTACACATGATGATGATGATTACTCAAATAACACCGACACTCCGCGTTATATTTACGTCCTTCACTTACAGAATGCATCAATGACTCGAGGACCAGAACATAAACTCAGCAATGAGGATTTAAACATACTAGCAACGAAAATACTTAATAATATATCGGACGTAAATAATCATTCGTGGACAGGCGTAGAGAAGACATATGACTGCGTTGGTGTTGGCTATACAGAAAATGGAGACTTGATTGTGAATGCAAACGTTAAAGAACGCTACCCATGCGCAGGTAAAAAAAAGGGAAATGATAGCGTTTGTTACGGTGAAATGGGATTGAATGAAAAACTCGCTAAAGTAATTGAAAATACTATCAAAGACGAAATAAAGAAATCTGGTGATCATAAAGTTGAAATAATCAAAGCGAAACTAGGTGACAATGAAAAACCATCAGCTGTTACGAATGCTAGAAGTCATGCTGAAATGCAAATAATCTCTCATGCAAAACAGCATGATTTAAATATTCAAGCACTTGGAACTAGTAAACCACCATGCCGTCCGTGCAAAGAAGAGTTGGAAAAGCAAAATGTAAAACTTCATTATGATGAGGAAGGAAATCAAAGACCCAAAAATTGGGCTCCATCAGAAGACATAGACACTGAGATAATAAGAATAAAGTCAAGAGATAAAGTTCGAGTAAACAAAAACTTTTTAGAAAGCAACATACCCAAAACAAAAAAGCAAGCGCACAAAGAATTTCAATCAAATTTAAAACAAAAATTGATTCCAAAACCAAATTTGCATGCAACTGCTGCCAGTGTTTTAGACACCATCGATACGATAGACGAAGGCGGTTCGACTTATGCTGGTAGGTTCAACGCTTATTCCGGCACATATGAAACAAAAAGGACACTTCGAAAGGGGGCGTACGCAGGTGCTAGTATTGCTGAAGCTATAGCTAACTATGGACCATGTGGAGTAAGCGCTTCACTTCTCTCAGCATCTGCTCATGTTGAATATGGTCTCAACAATTCAGTTGGCGTCGATCTCTCCATAGTACGAGCAGTGGCACATGCAGGACCTCTACAAGTCGGAGTTGGTTTGAATTTAGATACGAATGCTAGTGTTGGCTTCGATGGTATTCAAGCTTCTCTCTTAGGATTTGGTTTTCGTGCTGGTCTTAAAACAGGAGTCAAAACGCCTGTTGTTGATGCCAGTTGTAATGTTATATAACAAAGCTGTTGTAATTTGTTTCACGAATAAACTTTGTTGCCATAAACTGGAAATTTTGATTGTTAAAACCGAAAAAGAAAGCACTTATTACAGTGGTTTGGCTTCAAATTCAGAATGGGAGACTTTTCGTTTAATCACTTGCCCTGCAATGACTGCTTCTTGTTTTGCGGTGATACTTGAGCGTTTATTAGGGGACGCTAAGAACTATTCAACGGTATAATAATATCAACAGATCAGTGAATTAGCTTTATGAATAGTTTAAAGAAAAATATATGTGTAAAAAAGTGTGACAGGAATTTTATCAAGTTCAAAACTATTTTATTTGACACAGATGACAACTCTTTTACAATGAAAAATGACATCTAAATGTGTCGTCAACTAGCATAGTCAATAATTATGAAGTATTGTATGAAATGTATCTAATGAATGATAAGTTATTTACTGTCATTTAATATATGTGTTGATATCATCATTTTCTCTTTCATCCTTCATATTTATCGGCATTTTTAATATCATCTATAGTTCCTTTTAACGATGGATCATCATCAATAAGTATATTGCAATATTCATGAGTACGTGAAGTCATGTTTTTTGATCATATTCGTAGATACGCCTCCATGTTCAACTGCGTCATCGTTGCAAAGATCAATATCCATTTCTTTTATAGACAAGTGAGTAAGAGAGATTGAATGAAATGCTGTTGGCAAATGATATCTAGTATGTATGGCTGTGCGATGGATATATAAAACTGAAATAAATACTTACCACCGAAATAAAAAAATCAAGATGAAACAATAGACAGTTATACCAAAATTGAATAATTATTTATACTTAATAGCAGCTAACGCTGTTGAAAATAGGATTAGTGGTAGCTAGTGAGAGTCTCTATGTGACCATAAACATATAATATAATAAATACCGTTTAGTGCTCAGAAAAAATGAGAAAATGGAAAAAATACGAAAACTGAAAAAAATCAAGTTTCCATCTCTGAATAGCAGAGCAGTGAAAGGGTCCTGTGTTGATATTCGGATCATAACGTTCACTTTCGTCAAGTTGAGATTCAAGCCTTCTGATGATTCCTTTAGCCGGGATGGAATCTAGATAAGAGCAGCTTTATCTCACCCTAAGCAAGGTCGAAACACGTGTCGTGATTGCTTTCTTCTAACATACTCATCGCAATTTGAACTGCCAACCAGGTGTAAGCTCTGCTGTTTTCTAGTCTGATCTTTTTCCAGATCAGATAATAATGCAAATAGTAGACTAGATCAGCAGTTTTGTCTTCGTCTTAGGAGATTGACTCATGTAGATGGACATACCGTTCTCCTTAGGGATGAAATGCTGATCGGCATGGTTTCCCGTTCGGATATGTTCTTCCAGAATAGGCGAAATGAGTGACAAACCTGACTATATTTATTCTCTTCGGGAGAATAGAATATAGCTGATCACTGTCATTCATGGACATTCATTGAATCCTACTAGTTGTAGGTCTTTCAACTAAGATAGACATTCAGGAGGTACAAGTGTAAGGTGGTAGGGCGATGGCTCTAACTACCTGATGAGACCTTTCAGCAAGGCTGAAACGCGTCGTAGTGGCTGTATGCCTTTTTGCAATTGTATCTTTTCTATCTAACTACTCACCCTCAGCCATCCTCACCCTCAGTACACTCGATCTGGGCAACGTCATCACCATTCTTCAATAACTTGGAGTGGTTTTAGTTGATTTCAATGATCACTCGTATCAGCGAAGAACACATCAGTTCAATGTGGTCTGACGACTGATGGGTTGTTCGTCTCAATCTAGCAGTTTCAGACGGTTTCCGGCAAAGAAAGGAAAAACTGAGCATGACCATGGTTTTATCAATGAACTAAATTGATCAATGCGGATTATGTGGTATTGCTGAACAATTAGAAATATGCTATGTTATTCTTGAGAAGTGTTTTTTAAAGCCTCATTCACTGGATATATGTTAGAAAGCGGTTTGAACATTTTTATCGCGGCCTTTCTTTTGTATTGTATGACATATCGTTGTCCGAATGCTGGAATAAAGATTGTTCTTTCCAACATTCACTTCACGAGAAGTAACTTGGTGCTGAACGGTTCGACTGTTGTAGATTTCTGCCCTATTGAAATGTCATTCGCGTCCAATCGACGCACAACAACAGACCAAGAGGCCAATGTCAATGACTATATTCGTCGACGTGCACCACCCTCCTTTCAAGGATTTCAAGTGACAGAAAGTGTCGTTGAAAAACAATTCTGTCTAATTTTGACTAACAACTTCCGCTTTGTGCGACGGGAGCAACAGGTAACGAAGGATGACTAAAAAGAAAAAGACTTTTCTGGACTGGTCGTTGTATATGAATTTCTTGGGATATGTTGTAGCGAGCACGACAACCACAGCAACGAGATCGGAAACATCATCATTATCCTCATCATCATCATCCGCAGCAGCAACAGCAACAACAACAGCAGCAGCAAGGTGCCATGCCTGATGTTGAATTGTCTCTTGATGGGTTGATGAGACATAGTAGCTAGGTGGTGGTGATGATAACGGTGGACATCGAGACATCGACGATGAGTTTGTGGACGCACTACGACGTTTGGTCCATTCATACATTCAACGAACCAGTCGCCCGTTTCCACTGAACTATGTCATTGACTTGTCATGAACGGCACATTAACACTGTCGATTTGAAGTTTGAAGGCAATGAACAACCGGTAGCGACGTATGGTATGTTTGCATGTGGCAGTCCTTTGTGTCCGTGTGGCCATCCGTCGTTTGCCTGGAAGAAAGGTCAATCATGGCCAGTTGTGGAATTTTCCTCCAGTCAAATCCATCATTTTGTCAATGAATATCAAGCCATTCTCAATTGTCCAGCATTAAGCACTTGATCGCAGGATTTATTGAATGCAATCTAATATTGATCGAATGTAGACCTGTACAACGTCGAGCATTATCTATGCCATGACCTGTCCATGTGGCCACTTTGATTATGTCGATTCGATCGAGAAAACATTGGTCGAAGCCATAGCTCGTAAGTTTTCCTTTTGCGCTAACGCTAAATGAACTGTTTCTATTTGCGTAGAACATCGTGAACATGGCAATCGAATCGTTCATGAACTGCTGACTGGTGCCCCTTTCTACCAAGGATCCCTCGATCCTAAAGAGCAGGAGTAATGAAAGAGGCAAATCTCGATATTTATTACTTTCATTGATCTATGTAGGAAAGAAATGGCCAATACGATGCGTCTCTATCGGCATTTTGCTCGATGTCCATCATCGCTACGATCGTTTCTGGATCCCTACTCATCGATTCTTATAAAGGAATCAGACAAGAATCTTACTGAAAACTTATATGGATCCTATAAGATCCAGGTAAGAATCTTATCACACTCTTACAAGATTCGTATATAAGAAAACGCTCGAAAGTGCCACGAATTTCGTAAGAGTCTTATAAGAATCTGATAAGAGATTTGCAAGAATTGCATAAGAAACTGCTGAGAATTCGAGTGTTATTCTTAACGGAACTCCGACTCTTCCACGAACTTTTCATAGTATACATTTGGATATTTTTGGCAATGTTCGCTGGAGGTGAGGAGTGTGTGTGCAGTGTGAGAGTGAGTTCGAACAGTAGTTTGACACAAAACATATTTTCATGATGCGAAACTGTATATCTGTAACTGTATCACATAATGACTATTCACCACATAACTTCACTGAGGTTTCAAAACATGATGTACAAAATACAAAATCAGGCATATTATTGGTGTGCATATTTGTCGTATTGTAGGATGCCTCCTGAAGTGATGCTGACGGTAACGCGAAATTCATCTGGCGAGGGGATTCATAGTATTGTTATTCTCCTTCCCGATTAATCCGTATTATTTCAGCCACACAATATCACCTAAAATTTATTTTTATTTGTTGAGTGATGTTAATTCAAAGACTGGGGTACAGAACTTTGCAGACTACGAGAGCTTTTGATCCTACACAAGAATATTGAAAACTAGGGGAACATTGATGAAAAAACGGATACACAGCTATGACCCACATTAAACAACTAAGCCGTTGATTACATTCTCTTAAATTATAGCAGTATTATTGGAATGCTGGATTATTCGAGGCGGCTGAAGAGACTGAGAGAGAGTCACCGATCAGCATCTCATCCTCCTTTATAATTAACAACTTTTCACTGGTCTTAAAGTTCTTCTCTTCACAACTCTACAAAAGCACTAGACATTTTCGTAGTTTTCGATCTTTTTATGTATGGCAAAAAGATCTCATAGTCTGCGAAGCTCTGTATTCCAGTCTTTGAATTGACATCACTAGCTATTAGTTGTTCTAGCAAGCTGCATAATCGTGAATAGTTACACTTTTTTCTGTATTCGTAGAAAATACAAATATGTACCAAGCAAGAGCATGGTGGATAAGAGCTACGTACGATAATCCGCTGCTTTTTACTGATTACCCCGAAACGGATGAAGATAGTCTTATGAACAAAAAGAAAAACATAGAACAAAATCAAGAGCGACAGGAATGACAAAGTATTTTATTGAACACGCAACTTGATCCCGAAGGATATTTAGCTCCCAATAAAAAATTTCTTCAAAGACAACAACAGACAGATAATGAGAATCCTATTGATGAAATGTTACTTGGCGAGCAAATTGTAACTACCCAATATTCTAAAAATGGATGGATATATAACCGCGGAATTTATTTCGACAACTGGTACACAGGTTTACCACCACAACAGTGTTTTTGTCCTCTATCAACGTACGGAGAATACTGTCAATATTTTAGTGATCGCATTATAGTTATAACATATTTAGAAGGACATATACAGCCTAAAAATGTTTCTGACATTGTAATCAAAGTGTTTGCTATGCTTTTTCTTCATAATGAAATAGTCGATGCGAAGGAGTTTCATTTTACATCTGCATTAACGAATTTAAATTATGAACATAAATTTAATTTAATTTATCCAAGATCAAGAATATTTTATGAAACAATGAGCAATTCCTCGTCATATTATGTGAATTTTGAAGCATATCACTTTAATTTGCATAATGCATGTTTAGAACATGATCCGTTACATAAACCACTTCCATTGATTTATTCACAATTTTTACCATTTCGAGGATATGGACAATGGCAAAAATAAGCTGTTGTATCATTTGATATGTTCATTATTGATAAACATGTATCATTATTTTGACATGAATTTCTACTATGATTAAAGCAAATATGATTTTGATTTATTTGCTTAAATTTCAATGTCTTAGCCAAACGAAAAGATGGTAGAAAATTAAATTGAATTGAATACTGCCAAATAGCAATTACTTGTATTGTTGAATTATTAAATTTATTGAATTATCAATTTTGTTCTATGTTTTTCTTTTTGTTAATAAAAAAGAAAAATCGACCCTCTGGAAATATCTCAGAATCCTTCGGAAATGCATTACCCTTGTGAGGTACCGCATCTGAATGCGCATCGATTTCTGAGCAAAATAAGACCTTTCCGAGCTTCCCAGCGTCTTTCTAAGCCGAGTTATTGGCAAATCTCTTAAAGGATTTCGAGTCAGCCGGATCTCTGAAAGTAAAATGGCCTTATCTCGGCCTAGAGATGTCCTAGAAGGCTCGAGGACGTCTCATTTTGCTCAGAATTTGACGCTTTATCAATACGATGTGCTAAAAGAATTCCAAAAGGCTCTTGAAGGTTTCTGAAAGTTCTGGTTTTTTGCAAAAATGTCTTGGAAAACTCCAAATCTCTCAAACACATTTCTAAGGTATTCAGCATTGCTTTTTACCTAGAAAACCATAATAGCTCTAGGTGGAAATATCACTGAGTTATGGGCTCATCATCTGAAGGATTTTTCGAAAAACTCGCACTTTTTCAGTCTTTTCCTAATTTGTCCTAAAATGAAAAACGTTTCGAAAAAAACGAAGCATACTTTTGTGGAGCAAGGCTAGGCGAATCTTCTGGCGTATGAAAGAAGTCTCTGGCTCTCATGGCAAAAAACTAGATAGCATTGCGCAATGAGAACCTCAAGGTTCGAGCGATCGGTGTTTGACCAGCTACCGGAGTTTAAGTCTTGAAGACAAGTCGTCGAATGACAAGTGCCTAGATGTGCTTCGTGATGCTGAATCCGAAAATCGCATCGGTGAGGTCGAAAAATGAAAAGATCAGGAAATAATCGGAATTTTTCTGAAAAATCGGTTTTTCGAGGTTTTTGACGCCTTCTCAGTATTTTGAGGTTTTCTGCATGAAAACTCGGTCAAATCGAAAAAATAAGGTCAGATTCGTGATCAGCAGCGTCTGATGAATCAGAATATGTATTTGAGAATTCAAAAGCTTTTCTACTTGATTTTTGAATTAGCGGCGCCTTACATTAGAAGTTTAGCATATGAAAATGGTTATCCAAAACCATTTATATACAATCAAATTAGGAAGACAATGAACAGGTATTTTGAGAAATCGAAGAAGATAGGTGATTCTGCAATGGAATCCAAAGTATTAGTAAATAGAATTAAAAAGAGTAAACAAATCTTCGTCGATTTACCGTTCATTGGAAGAGGAACTAAAACGCTCGGAAAACAAATTATTGAATTAAGTAACAGTGTAAGATCAAATTTACACGTACAACCTATACCTCCTCCTCCTCCTACGATTTCCACGTGTGTTTCAAGGAAAGACATAATTAATAAGAACCTTCAATCACATCTTGTTTACGAACTATCATGCGCAGACACTATTCGGCAAGGTGCAAGACATCATGAAGAATATGGCGCTCCACAGCCACCAAAACAGTCTTCGATCTCAAAACAAATTCTTCAACAAATACAATAGATAAAATAGAGCTAAGATGCTCTGAAAGGAATAAAGATAAAGAAATACCGATTTATTATCCTAAAGAAGAAGAAATCGAAAATAAAAATCCAGTCGAGATTAACAAGAAACTTATGAAGTCGGCTCTTTACAGACACGCATTTGAAACGGGTCATGATACAGACTGGGAGGGATGGAAGATTATATCGAGAGATTCATCCCAATATCGCTTACTAATTCGAGAATCATTGCAAATTCTTCACAGAAAACCAAGTTTGAACAGAACAGTGTCATCTGCACCTTTGATTATCTATCCTGAAGGACTACGTGTTTCAAAACCAAAGATTAAGATAAAAACAAGGATAAGAAATTAGACCTGGCGGTCGGCGATTTACAGTGCAAAATAAATTTATTTCACTGTTTAACTTTTATTTCGTTCTGTCGCACATGTAATACTAGTAGTAGAAAGATCAATTCTTCGTTCTTTATTTCCGAACTTGTAGATCATATTTAGTATTTGTATTTTTGTCTTGAAAAAGATACGTGACGTATCGAAACGTCGACAATAAACGTTAGAAAAAAAGATATAAGCTATGTCTGAGAAATTCAAAGCTGCCGTTAAAACGATTATTGATTTAGCAAATTAAAAGTTTCCTTCTAGTGTATGAATGAATCCTTTTTTCTTTTAAATCCATTTCATGTGTATGTAGGTACAACTATTCACGCAATATAACTGTCGTGTTCGACGAGAAACAAAAATATATATGCTACATGAAAGGAAAGAACATGTGAAAGTATTTATTTAAAGAACAAAATAAATACGAATATAATTTACTTTGGTGTCTTTTTTTATTATTAAAAACATTCAGTGAGTTAATTTTTCTTTCTCTATGCCCAGCACAGTAGAGTAAAATCTTGAAGATTTAACTATCGTATGACTTGATCAAAATATAGACCATTTTTCCAATAGAGAGTTCGATTATGTCGTATTATCAATTATTTAAAAATATTTGACAATATTGAAAAATGTATAAAATATATCAAATCTATTCAAATAGAAAAAATATTTTTATTATATCCGGTACATTAGGAAAAGATATTATTCCTATCATTGTTGATGAATCACAAATCGTGTTTATTTACATATTTTCTTTCAAAAAAGATGAACTATGGTCTAATAAATATAAAAAGGTTCGCGGTGTATTTGTTGATGATTGATCATTATTTGATCAATTAACTGATGATATACGATTATTTTACATCAGTTAATAAATATCTTTAAAAAACCAAATGTTAAAGAAACTTCCATTCAATGTTTAACGAATGAACAAGGAAAATTTATATGATTTCAATTAATTATTGAAGTATTATTCAGAATGTCACAGAATATAAAAGCTAAATCAGAGCTAATAAGTGAATGTCAGTTACAATATGAAAATAATGCTTTTGAACAATAAAAAATTGATAAGTTTAATAGAAATCATTGCTTACATGACGCTATATTCGTTGGTATACACGAGACGGTTTTCTCCGTTTGCTGATATTTCAAATGAAAGTTATAGCAAAAACGAAAAGGAAGTTTTAATAGCTATAGGAACTGTCTTTCGTTTGGAATTTGTTGAAAACCTTTGCGACACATTATGGTATGTCAAACTGACATTGACGAGTGATCTTGATCGACATGTAAAAGAGATAATTGAGCCCTATAAACGGGAAATTTGTCCTACATCTGATATAGGCACGTTAGGTAGATTTCTGGCTCGTATGGGAGAGTATGAGAGAGCCGATCGATATTATAATTTAGCATTAAACGAGTTGGTAGATGTCGATAATAATTGTTATGATTCAAACGATCTTGAAAGGATGTTAGTCAGCTGTAAACAAGCGCTTGACGTTGAACAAAATGATGTATCATCAAACAATTTTATATATGCAAATATAGCAACCGTTTATTATTTCACAGGAAATATGAAACATGAAGCACTTATGATTCGTTTTTCATTTAATGAAAAGATGGTTATGGGTTTTTTTGAGTAATACAAAATCGTTTTCCGTTTTATACTTCGCCGGAAAACCTTTCACCATTTTATAAATTACGCATTTATTTTCTAGAGAATAGGGACAGGACAGTTCTAGTTCAGTTCTATTGGATAAGAAGTAGTTACTATAGTTTTTTAAAATCTACTTTTTCGATTTTTTTTCTCGGGCTTTTTGTATAAAATCGGTAATTCACTCATTTTTAGGGTCTAGGAGTAAGAAACTAGGATTTATGGGTAACTTTGAAAGCTTTATTTAATGAGATCATAAGAAATCGCTTTAAGTTTGAATTCTTTGGAGGATTCTTAGTCATATATTTAGAGCAGGATCTGCAGATGTATTAGGATATCATTTGTATTGATATGTTTAATTATCCATTTATAATAGTTTTTAATTAGTTTTTGAGAACTAGAAAAAAAATCGTCTTTAGTAGATATTTTAGGTTTTTAGCTCAAAAGTAAGATGGTTTTCAGCTTTGTCAGGTGAAATCTCCCGCCTCCCAACGATCTGTTGTTATGATCTAATGAAAAAAGTTTTAAAAAAAGTTTTAAAAAAAGTTTTTTATAATTAATCAATGATAATGAATACTAATTATTATTTAATATTACTCTGGTGCCTTACAGTTTTATTTGCAAATTTACGGTTTATTGGAAGCGGTAAAGTGATACGTCATTCAACAGAGATTTTCAAGCGCTACAAACTCCTGTATATGTCTTTTCAAAATGTTATCGAGCAGTAGTTATTTGTATTCAGTTTTAGGCAAACGGGGTTTCTACTATTGATTTCTGAACAGAGCGGCCATGAATATTTTTGAATAACTCGAGAATGAAAAGAGAGAGAGAGCCCAGGTTTTCAGCATTTTTTGCGCAAGACCGACCTCTCTATCTGTTGTGGTTCTCGAATGGCAGGCATTTTCCTGGCGTAACAATTTATATAATATTGATGGGCTTTGTGAGTGTGGAAGAAAAAAAGATTGAGAGTAGTCTACTAAAACAGATCGATTTGTTACTTCTATTAGAATACGCTTTTGTATCTAGAGAATACAAAACGGTTTTGGTTTCAAAATCAGTTGTGCAAATGGATTTTAGAAAACTGGTCTGGCTTCCTACATTCGAAGAAAAGGATGAAACGTTCTTTTTTTGCTCTTCAGAAAATGGTTCCAGTATTTTAATGCAACATAAAGCGCTTATGATTCGCTTTTTACTTAGTGAAAAAATGATTATCCGTCTTTTTTAATACAAAATCGTTTTCCGTTTTGTACTTCGCTGGAAATCCTTCAACGTTTTCTAAATTACGCA